TGTGAAGTGATGAGAAGAAATGAGGCCAGGGGGACACGGTCAGAGAAAGGGCAAAGGTAGCCCAGCTAGTGTGGCTCGGTGAGTGAGCCTCAACCTAGGAACCAAGAGTCATGGTTCGATTCCTAGTCAGGGCACATGCCGGGCTGCAGGGCTTTAACCCCCGTAGGAGGCGTGCAGGAGGCAGCCAACCAATGATTCTCATCACCGATGTTTTATCTCCCTCTCCCTTCCTTTTTGAAATCAACAAAAATGAAAGAGAAACAGAGAGAGAGAGAGAGAGAGAGTGTCGTATCAGTCAAGGCCTCCAAAGTCAGGGTCAGGAGCTCAGCTTTTACTCAGAGCAGTAGGAGGTCACTGGAGGGTGAGAGCAGGCAAGTGATGTGACCTGGCTTATTTTTTATTTTATTTTTTTCCAAAATATCACTGGCTGCTGCCATGCATTGGACATTTGGTGGTTGTGTGACCTTGGGCAAGATGCTTACAGCCTCTGAGCCTATCTCCTCTCTAAAATGAGGGTAACAGACCCTCCCTCCCAGGTTTCACTGGAGGCTGGCATGACAACACACACAGAGCACTTACCATCATGCCCCATGCGTTGTCCGTACCAAGTAATGCTTTGCTGTTTTACATCACTGTGTCCAAAGCCCTCGTCCTGCACCAGCGCGGCCTGCACCTGTTGAAACCATAGGTCCTTCCAATTCAATCCACACAGCCCAGCCTCCCACTGCCTCAGAGCGCCTCAGCCCGTGGTTGTTTCTTCTTTCATTTCTCAAGAGGAGGCGCCGAGGCCCACTGAGAGTCGGGACCTGCCTCAGTGTTCCCCTGGAAAGGAGGCCCTCAGACTAAGGACCCTAGACCCAGGGTCCCTGCTCTCTCCACACGTGGCAAGGTAGGTTCTTGTTGGTTCTGGAGCCCATGCGATGACACCGTTATTTCTGCACAGCCCTCAGCCATGGGGTTGCCCATTAAACCCTTATCCATCAGGAGACAGCCATGGGTGGTCAGCAGGATCCCAGGGACAGGGAGGCTGCCAGGGCCTGCTCTCAATTAAGGCCTTGCAAATGGCCTGAGCATCTATCAAAGTCACGGCTCCACCTCCTGGGTGCCCAGGATATATAACATGTCCCCATCGGAGGCCAGCAGAGAGGCCGTGAGAAGTAATAATTGCCTTGGCAGGTTCCTACAGGAGATTTATTATGACATAAAGAAACAAATTTAGCTGCTGGCAGCGCCAGGCAGCTGGCCCATCCACATTTAGAGGAATCCTATTTGCCGGGGTTGGGGGGGTAGGGGCTTCTACCCCACGCTGGCTGGGCCCGTGGACCATTCGTCTTGTGCTTGCTCTAGGCCGCCTTGTCCCAGAGGCCACCACCGCTGACACATTTCACAGTCTCTGGGAATCAGTGCCCAGTTCACACATGACTCATGTGGTGTCGCACCAAGTGACCCCCTGGCTTTTGACACCACCCAGATCGTCCGTGGAGCAAGATGATTGAAGGCCCAGGCTGTAGTCAGCTTCAACGTGGGTTCAAGTTCAACTCCGGACTCTGTCATGGACTGACTGTGACTCTGGGTGAGTCAACTGCCTCTCTGAGACTCCATTCCCTCAGCTCTCAAAGAAAGGGGAGGAATGCCTACTCTAAAGAGCTGTTGTATGAATTAAGAGAAAAAGGTACAAGGCGTCTAACATCTAACAGTGCTGCCGGCACCGGTTTGGCTCAATGGATAGAGCGTCGGCTTGGGGACTGAAGGGTCCCCGGTTCGATTCCGGTCAAGGGCATGTACCTTGGTTGCGGGCATATCCCCAGTAGGGGGTGTGCAAGAGGCAGCTGGTCGATGATTCTCTCTCATCGACGTTTCTAACTCTCTCTCTCTCTCCCTTCCTCTCTCTGTGAAAAATCAATAAAATATATTAAAAAAAAAAAAAAAAAAAAAAAAAAAAAAAAAACATCTAACAGTGCTAAACAGAAAGTGATGGTGGCCATCTTTATTAGCCAAGGCCTTCAACAGTATCATATGAAATGGCATTTATGGAGGGGCAGTAACTTGGCTAGTTTTAGGGTGCTTATTTTATTTTATTTTATTTTATTTTATTTTATTTTATTTTACTATGCTAGCTCTTTTAAAGCATTTTATCTCTACACACCACCACCAATCCTGCAAGTAGGGATGGTTATGTTGATTTTCTAGATTAGGAAGCAGAGTGGTTAAGGCATTTGATCAAGGTCACCAGCTGGAGGAATGCGGAGCTGGGGGTGGGATACTAGTTTGCTGGTTCTGGAGCTATTGCTCCTCCTAACACACAGCCTACCTTCCCAGCTCCTCTGAAAGGCCACAACCACATTTCTGCCTTCCTTCCCTCCCTCCTTTTCTCCCTCATGCCATCATTCCTTGAGCACCAGCTCCAAGATCAGCCCTATGCTGGCCAATGAGCACAATAAAATGAACAAAAAAATACTCCTTGCCCTTGAGAAGGTCAATACCTGATGGGCAAAGAGTAAAACTGTATCCACATTGCCTGGAACGCATGTATCAGTTAGCTTTTGCTGCATAACAAACGATCCCAAAAATGTATATTGTTTTAAAAGAAAGAACAATTTATTATCTCTCCCAATTCTGTCTGATTAGACAGTTTTTGCTAAGTTTAATTATGCAGCTACACTCACCTGACAGGCCGGCGAGTCTAGAAGTTCCAAGATGGCCTCGTTCGCAGGTCTGACAGCTGGTGTCTGCCACTCATAGGTTACATCAGTGCTTCTCCGTGTGCCCTCAGTCTTCAGGTGGGCTGTCCAGGCTTCCTTACCGAGCAGAGTTCCAGAAGGGCACGACAAAAGCTGCAGTGCCCCTGGAGGTTTAGGATCCAGAATCTGATGCCACTTACACCACATTCTATCGTCAAAGCACGTCACATTCTGTTGCTTAGCGAATATCGGACATATACATTTGTGACCTACCACGTAAGGCTCAGCAGTGAGCGCAGAATGAGTGTGAGCAGGCCAGTCTAGCTAGGCGAGCCTCTAACTAATGCATTTTTAATTCAGATTAAAGGAGGTTGAATTGTGTGGCTAGAATAGGCCTTTGCCTTTAACCAATAGAAAAACTGAGGCACAGAGAGGCAGCCAGAATTAGTACATCAGAGAGCCAGTCTCCACATGAAGAAACTGAGGCTCAGAAACAAAAGTGGGGGGGGAATGGGGTCTTGCCCAAGGTCATATAGCAAGTTTGTGAGAACCAGGAGCGACTCGGGTCCCTACCAGCCAGTCCACTCCTCCTCTCCTCCAGCCTCAGGCTGGGACTGGGCTGACCGTGGGCAGCAGGACGACCATCCCCAGATGGGTGTCTCCTCTGTCTCCTCTTGTCTCCTCTCTGCTGAGTGCACACAAGTAGCCTTTTCCACCCACCTGGCACCACGCAAGAACCTCAACCACAACGTCTTCTGCTCTTAGCAGGACTGTCCCCATTTTACAGGTGGGAAAGCAAGGCCTGGGGAGGACAGCTGACTTGCCACCCAGAGCCTCACAGCTGGTGAGGCCCATCTGCCTGACACCAAAGCCTGAGCCTCCCAAACTGTCCCCTAAAAGAGCTCAACCAGGCCCAGGCCCAGAGGGAGAGGCAGCTCTGGGGCCCTCGGAGGTCTCAGGATAGAGCCCACTCCTTGCCCGGTGAAGAGGCCTGGGAAGAGGCAGCAATGAGCCAGAGGGATGCAAGGACCTGCAAATGCAAGGACCCTGAGGGATGCTCTGGCCCACACCTCCACCATTTTACAGGAAAACGGATGCCAGACCAGCACACAGGCCCCTGACCCCCCCAGTCCAGGGCCCTCTCTCTGCACTGGGAAGCGGGGGCCGGCGAGCAAGCCCCGGGCGGGCCAGTCAGACACACACAAGGCCGCTCCGTGGCATTCAGAGAGCACGTTTATTTACAAAGCACTTTACAAACATCAGCGTTTGCCTCCCCACAGCCCCCTGCGAGGTAGGTCAGTAGTCATATCTACAGTTTCCAGGTGGGGAATCTGAGGCACGGAATGGGGGTGTGGCCTGCCCCGTCTGAGAGAGATCCTCCCACCCACCCATCAAAAAATAGACCGAAAAGCACTGATCCTCCTCCCCGGACACCCCTTCTTCCTCCGAACCCTCCGGGCTGGGAGCACCCCTCGTCTCACAGTGCTCTCTTCCCAGCTGGCATCCTGATCGGGAGCCACAGGCACCTCAACCCCATGGGCTGCTGTCCGGCTCAGGCCGAGCAGGACCAGCCAGGGAGGCGGAGCTTATGGGCAGAGGAGCCTGAGCTGTCTCATTCTGCAGACACTGGGTCAGGCAGGGAAGGGGCTTCACATCGGCAGGGGAGGGGCGGGCAGATCCTGGATCGGGGAACTCAGAGCACAAGTCGGGGAAGCAAAAGTGGGAAGGATCATGAGCAACATTTCCCAGGGGCTCACGGGGCACAGCGGTGGAGGAGGGGCTGCGGCTCCCCCTGGGGGACCTCCGTCGGATGTGCCCACTGGCAAATCTGGGGCAGAGCCCAGTCTCCCCAGGGCCGCAGGGACTCGGCCAGATGGGTTTCTAGATGCCAAAGCCCAATGCACTCCCTGCCGGTGTGGAGCCATGCTGGGTGGGACCTTGGCCTGGCACGCGTTCCACCAAGGGCTGGGGTACAGTCAAGGGGCTTGAGCCTGGTCCCCCAGAGCAAGTAGTTCTGAGCTCCTGTCACTCTGCCAGGCGGTGCCAGGCCTCTCGGCGCAGGCCAGCAGGACCCCCCTGCACAGGTGGGCGGGGTTGCAGCCTCGCTCAGCTCCTCCTTGGCCCCCCGGGCTGCCCACGGGACATCTGGTGAAAGGCCCTGCCCACGGTGAAGGCAGCACCAAGAAGGCCCATCGCCCACTCCAGTGCCTTCCCCGGGGGTTGTGGTGGAGCAGAGTTGGGGACACAGCTCTTCCTCTCGGTCAGGACGGCGGGCCTGGCCCTGAGTGCGCAGTGGGTGCTCCAGGCCAGGGGCCCCCGCTATCTTGACTCCAGCCCCTCCAGGTACTCCAGGGCCATGTCATAGCAAAAGTGGTACTGATCCTGGGGAGAGGAGAGAAGGAGCCGTGAGCCCGGGGTGGAGAGGGCAAGCATGAGACCTGGCCCATCTTGGGGAGAAGGGGGAAAAGGGGGACACATTTTGGCACCACAAGACTAATCATGGGGGACCCAAGGCCCAATTGTGGGGACTGGATGTGGGAGAGTGGGTACTGAGGGGGCTGGCTGGGCATGGAAGTGGCTGGGCACAGGGGACATGGCACCTCACCAGGGTCTCCACCATATTGGGCTTGTAGTTCCTAAGCGTTTTGGCAGCAAAGAAAACGTCCACCAGGTTGTGGCAGCGAATCATCTCCAGGACCGTGGCGCAGGCGCAGAAGGTGCCGCTGCGGCCACCCCCATTTCTAAAGGAGACACAAAAGGTTTGGGGTAAGGCTTGGGGGAGCAGGGGGAGCCCCAAGGTAAAGAGCAGGGCCAGGGTCTGGGAACCCAGAGGAGAGGGGAGGGAAGGGGAGGGGAAGGGAGGAGAAGGGAGGAGAGGGGAGGGGAAGGGAGGAGAGGGGAGGGGAAGGGAGGAGAGGGGAGGGGGAGGAGAGGGGAGGAGAGGGGAGGAGAGGGGAGAGGGAGGAAAGTGGAGGGGTGGGGAGGGGTGGGGAGGGGTGGGGAGGGGAGAGGTCCCAGAGGTGAGCGGGAGGTTAAGGGGCGGAGCTGAAGGTATCTAGGAAGACAGCCCCCAGGTGACACAGCTGATTCTGACAAAGGAGGAAGGCACACGCCCAGAGAACGAATGAGACAGCCACAGAGGAGGGCAACAGAGCAGCAAGCAAAGCCAGAGAGCGGGATGGGAAATGACTACCGAGAATGCCCGTCACCCCAGCAATGCAGACATGGCTACAAGCACAGGAATGCCCTGAGTCCCCACGGCCCATCCCCCGTCCCTCTCCCTCCTCTGTTCCTGTAACTCAGGGCGCAAAGTCCTCTCGGGAGATGAGGGACAGGACAGGCCTCAGCCCCATCTCTAGAGCCTCTCCCACTAGAACTAAAAGCCCCTCAGAGGCAGGCCTGGCCCAACCCGGCTCCGTCCCCGCATCCAGCACGCCCAGCCCGGCGCCGGGAAGGGCCAGCAAGTCTGAAAGCAGCGGAGGAGTGGCTGCGGCAGACAAGAGTGCACCAATGAACCATGGATGGGAGCATGAGTTAATTAGTTAGCTAATTAACTAATTAATGAATGAAAAGGTGAAGTTTTATGTGAGCATTCATGAACAAAGGACCAGAAACCCATTGGCATAAAAAGTGTACTCCAGGATCACAGGGCTCCTGCGGGGCCCTAATTACATGGGCAAAGGCCAGCATCACACACGGAGAGCTGGGCAGTTCTGCAGGGTCAGAGCTGGCCGGGATCCTCCAGGGAAGGCAGGGCCAGGCGACTGGGAGCCAGGGGCTCTGGTGCCAGCTTGAGGCTGGCCTCTCACGCTGGACCTTTCCCTCACGCCCCTTCACGCCCCTTCCTTCCCCCTCCCATCACCCCCTCTCCCAGGCAGGCCCGCACTCACAGGCAGTGCACAACGGTGCGCCCGTCCCCGCTCTCCGCCTGCCACCTGTCCACCTCGGCCAGCAGGCGCAGGAAGGCCTTCTTGGAGTCCGGCGTGTCCCGGTAGGCGGACCAGCGCAGGAACTGGAAGTGCCGCACCAGCAGGTGCCCCTCCTGCAGCTGGGGGTGTGGGCAGCCAGCCAGGGGGGCGTGAGCCCCGGAGTTACAGGCCCTGGTGACCTCCAGGAGGTCCTTACACCCACCGCCACCCCGTTCTCACCCTGGGGCTCCCGGATCACTCACCCTGGAGAGGTTCTGCACCCGGAAGACACGGGCTACCAGGTCTTCGTCTGCCGTGCCCGACACGAACTCCACCTCCATGAGGCCGTACTGCTGCCGGCCCGGCTCCGGCCAGTACTGCAGGCACGGCTGGCGGCACGGGCAGAGACCGGCGCTGAGCAGAGCCTCCGGGCAGCTGCCACTCACCTTCCCCAACCTCCACCCTGGTGCTGGGACTCCCAGGCACCCTGGCCCACCCACTCACCCCAGACTCCTCTTCAGAGTCCATCCACCCTCCACCACTCACCACAGACGGCAGTGCACACCTGCTGGTGTGTTTGCAGACACCCACGGGGCAGCGGAGACAAACCCTTCCAAGGGGTGCCCTGGTGCTCCACAGCCACCCCTCATGCACCGACACAGGCTGCCTCTCTCCGGGGCGGCCTCGTCAGCCCTCCCATCCTCTCCCTCCCCCCCCCCTTCTCTCTCACTGCTCTGCCTTCCAGCATCAGCTCAGAGGTAGGGTGTCCCTGATGCTGGGACACCGCTCAGCACCTGCCCAAGACACTCCATGGAGTCAGGGACCTAAATGTCCCCCCTCCACGCCACAGGCTTGGGACAGCAGGGGGACAGAGGGGTAGGGCCCCCACAACAGACGCACAATGCTCCGGGCTAGATGGTCCCAGGCCCCAGCTTCTAGTCTCCGCTCTCCCTTATTCTGGGCCCATTTTTCCGCCTGTGAGATGGCCCCACGCTCCTCCCAGACAACACCAGGCTCCACTGCTTCCCTCTCCGACTACCCCCAGAAGGAGAGGGCACTGCCTTCCTGCTTCAGCCGGGGGTTCCGGCAAGTCCTCGCCTTCAGGCCTGTGCACATGCCACTCCCTCCATGGGTCACTCATCCTCCAACTCTCACCCTCATCTTCATCCCTGCCACGTACGGAGAGCCTCCCGTGCACTAGACATGGCCCACGCTAAGCATCCTACCTCTGTCTGACATGGTCCTGACAATAACCCCATGATCCCGGGCGCTCTGAGGGTGCCCATTTCACGAGAAGGAAACTAAGGCTCAAACTATGTCCTAGACTGAACAATCAGAATGTAAGGAGGCTGGAACTTTTTCTGCCTCAACGACCCCCCATGATGGGCGGTTTAGTTCAGCAACTAATCGGCTCTGGAAGGCGGCAACACAGAGTAGGGGCACAGTTTCGTGCTTCCCAGCTGTGACCTTGGGTCTTAACCTTCTCACCTGAAGCCCAAGAATGCAAAGCAGAGTCCCTGGCACAGCAGGGACTTAACAAAAAGCAGCTTTTTTCCTCCAGTCTGACCGTCTCATTTAGAGACAAGGGAACGGCATGCACATGGGAGGGAGCATGACCTGTCTAAGGTCACTCAGCCAATAGGTGACAGAGCTGGGATCCACCCCCTGACTTCCGGGATGTGCCCTGAACGCATGCCCGGCGGCCTGGGCAGCAGGCAGCCAGCCGCGGCCAGCATGCCTCACCCAGGCGGAGTTGGACTGGTGCAGCTGGTTGAGCATGACGATGGAGGTGCAGCCGTAGTCGTAGACCAGCCTCCAGAAGTCGGGCGTGGTGCTCTGCAGCGGGTGCAGGGTCACGATGAAGGCTGCGCTCCGCGTGTAGCTCTGCAGGGAAGCTGGGACTCAGCAGGGCCGCTCACGGCCACGGCACAGCCGATCCTCTGCCCAAGGCTCCCCCTTAGTGGCTGGGGTACTCCTCCCCCTGCCTTTAGCTCACACCGCAACAACCTTGGGAAGCAAGCAGGGGGGCTTTCCCTCTTTAGGGAAACTCCCCTGTCCCCTGCTCTCCCCTGCCAAGGCCCTCTGCCAGGAGCCAGGCCCTCTCGCTCATGCCTGCTCTGAAAAAGCCTCCCTCTCCATGTCCCTCATCTCCACGGGGAGGGACGGCAATAGTCGGCAAGCCTGTCATGGGCCCACCTTCCTGCACGCTCCCATGGCAAGTCCAGGCAAGGACTGAGCGAGCTCAGCTCAGCACCCTCCCCCCCTTTTCCCAGGCCCGCGCGTCCTCAGAGAGTGTGCGATCAACCGCTCCTGCTCCTGCTCTTGCCACATGTAAAGGTCGGTCCCTGGTGGCAGAGGTGGCCTGTGGCTGCGCAGCTGTCTCCAGGACAAATCTGCCTGACTCGGGAGCGAAGGAGGAGCGAGTCCTCAGCCACATGTCGGAAGTCACATTCTCCAGTTAGATCCAGTCTGTCTCCTGCACCCACCTCTCCGCTGGTTCCATTTGGGGGAGGAATGAGGCGATGTGCACAGACTCTTCCCCCCTCAGACGGCAGCATCTCGGGGTTACTCCTTGGGGACTAAAGCCCCCGTTCTGCTTGCAACACCCAATGCGGGAGGTGGCGCCCCCAAGCTGGAGCAGGGGAAGAGGCTTCTAAATGGCTCCTGAGCCCTCAGACCAAGCAAGTCACAGCCTGGGCCATGTCCTGAGACCAGCTCCCCCTCGATCATCCCAGCACAAGCTCCCCTGGCTCCAGACTCCTGGTCTCAAACCCCAACCCCAAACCCTCCTGTCCTCCCAGCCAGAGCCCCCAAATCACTCCTACCCGGGCTCTGCGTGGTCCAAGCCTGCAGCCTCCCTGGACTCCGCCACCCAATCCCGACTCAGGCCAAGGACATACTGAGGGGGAGACTGCCTGGGGTGTCCTGAACGGAGCTCACTGGGGACAGAAGAGTCACCCCTGAAGGGCAAAGGGTCCCAGAACCAGAGCCCTCAGTGCTACTCCCTGGCTCCCGGTCGTGCGGGGAGGGGGGGACAGTCCCAGAGCCCACCCCACGCCCGGCCCTCACGTCGGTCAGGGCCGCATTGATGTAGTTGTTGGGGTCCCCGTCGGTGGAGATGAGGAAGGGCAGGCAGCGGTCGGGCGGCAGGACGTCCATGCTGCGGTTCTTGTCTCGGTTGCGGGGCAGCAGGGCGATGCTGCACTCCTCCACGTCCAGGGTCGGCGTGACCGAGTTCAGCGTCTACAGGAAGTGGGAAGAGGAATGGCGGTGGCATCCGGCACTTCCTGGGCCTCCTCACAGCCCCGGGAGGGAAATTGAGTTATTCATGCCATCTCTGACTCCTAAGGCACTGAGGACCTCCAACATACACACACACACACACTCACGTACACTCACTTACACTCACACTCACACACAAACACATACACACTCACACACACATACACATTCACATACACACTCACATACACACACATTCACACACACATACACTCACACACACACTCATGTACACACACACACACACACACATACACTCACACATACACACACTCACACACACTCACACACACTCACTCACACACTCATACACACACTCACACTCACACACACACACACTCACTCACACACTCATACACACACTCACACTCACACACACACACACACACTCACGTACACTCACTTACACTCACACACAAACACATACACACTCACACACACATACACACTCACATACACACACATTCACACACACATACACTCACACACACACTCATGTACACTCACATACACTCACACACACACACACACACTCACACACACTCACACTCTCTCACACACACACACTCACATACACACACACACTCATACACACACACATACACTCACATACACACACACACACTCACACACACAATATACTCACATACATACTCACTCACACACACACAGTATACTCACATACACTCACACACACACACACACACATATACACTCTCACACACACACACACACATACACTCACACACCTACATACCTACAGACACCCATACGTACGCACTCCTGCCCCACCTGGAACTCTTCCCGCAGCTGGGAGGAATTACTCTGAGGGTCAATACGGATCATCTCCTTGTAGGTAGCTTTGAATTCACTGACAGGGATGGTGGTCTCCCCACACAGGCAGGCCTCCAGGATTGCATCATGGATGAAGATGTACTGCTCCTAGAACAGGAGAAAAAGACTATGAAGAACCAGGAGGGGAAGAGACGCTAGAAATGTGGGGTGGAGGCAGGAGGAAGCAAGCTCAGGGTTGAGGCACGGGTGTGCTGACGTGGAGTCCAGCCACGTGTTACTACAGCTTGGACCTACCCTACTTAAAACAACCTTCATGGGCACATTCCCTTATATGTCATCCCCATAACAACCCGGTGAGCAGCTCTGATGGTACAGGGACAGCCCAGAGTCACATGTAGTGGGGGTACAGACAGGTCAGATCTTAACTGCGGAACCTATGACCTTGGCCCCTGCTACTTGACCTCACCCAGCAGCCCACGGTAGAGCTGAGTTTGGGAGGTTGGCAGGGATTGGAAAGAACAAAGGGGCACCTAGGAAGGGGGAGAGTGTGAGGACACCCTCTGATGTCAGCACCCAGGACTCGAATCCCAGAGAGGGGGCCGCATCCCCTACCTCCGTCTGGATCATGTTGACGCGCCGGGAGCAGAGGGTCTTCACGCAGTTGTAAATGTCCACGACGCCCTCACACTCGGCCATGTCCAGCATCACATCCAGGACGATGTAGCAGCCCGTGCGGCCGGTGCCGGCGCTGGGAGAGAGCGGCCCGGGCCGGGTCAGGGCCTTGGGAAGGGAGCCCAGGTCCAGGGGGCAGAAAAGAGAGGTCCCGGGCACCCAGGGGATGGGGACACAGAGAGACCCCCTCCTCCCTGGGCAAGGACGAGCCAGGGAGAAAGCCTCTGGAAGAGTTTTGGTGAACGGGGGTAAGGACAGAGCTGGGGGTGGGCCTTGGGGAAGGAGAGAGGGAAAAGGGGGTAGGGAGAACGCAACTTCGATCGGAGGGAGAAACAAAGGTGATGCTCAGAGCTTATCCAAGGCTGTTCTTGCTCCTGGACAGGCCTCCAATCTCCTGCACAGCCCTCAAAGCCACACCCACTCACAGCCCTTCCAGCAGACAGCGTTCTTCCATTAAGCACCCTTCCTGCTACGTGGTCATTGCTTACGTGACTGTCTCCCTAACCCGACTGGGAGCTCACCGGGAGCTCAGCTGAGTCTCATTGTCCCTGGAATCTTCGTGCTGAGCACCAGGTTAGAGCAAAGTTAAGGACAGGAAGGGGGTGAAAGGGGGGGGGGGGGGGGGAGAGAGACCAAACAAAGATGACAACAAGATTTCAAGCTTGAAAATAGTAGTATCCAAGTGTTGTCGAGGACATGGAGCAACTGGGTCCCCCGTACACTGCTGGTGGGAGCTTAAATCCACCACTTCGGAAAACCAGCGGGATCTATGAAAGCTGAGTGTTTGCAGACAGCGATTCCACTCCTAGGCACATAACCCACAGAAGCGCGTATGTATGTTGGCCACAAAACTTGCAATAGAATGTCCTTAGCAGCACTATTCCTATAGCTCAAAACTGGAAACCACCCGAACGCCTATCAGCTGCAGAACCGATAAACACATTGTGGTTTATTCATCCAGGCGAGTAAGATACCATATGAATGGACCTTGAGGAACAAAAGGTTGAGAGAAAGAATTCAGACACCAAAGCATACGAGTCCATTCACACCAAGTTCAAAAACACCGCACCACCAACCAACCTATGGTTCGGAAGTCAGGTTGATTGGTCAGGACGGTGATTGGTCAGGACGGTGATTGGTCAGGATGGTGATTGGTCAGGACGGTGACTGGTCACATCAGTGATTGGTCAGAGAGGGAGGAGGGGGCTCAGGGGCCTCTGGGTACTGGTAATGTTGTTTCTTGATCTGAGTAGTGCTGGTTGTTTCATGGGTGTGTGCAACTTATGAAAATTCATAATGACAGAAATACACTTATTTGTGCATGTTTTATTTTAAAAAGACGGTACCAAAGAGAAGCTGGTGTGCGGGTGGCAGCGAGGCAGTGGCAGGAGCCTGCTTTGTGGCCTGGGAGGAACGGATAAGAAGCCAAGGAGAGGAGCCAGGACAAGACACAGAGGCCCAGGGCCTCGGGTCGGCGGTGAAGCTCTCCAATGGGGAGGTGGGGGAGGGAATAGGTGGGGGAGGGACAGGCCAGGGCACTGGGCTTCCACTTAAGAGGAAGAAGGAAGATGAGCAGAGGAGGAAGCGGAGCAGAGAGAGAAAGGGCAGTAGGGGTCACAGGACCCAACCAGGGCAGGAGTCAGGAACGCTGCGGAAGGTGAGAGGGCCAAGGGGTGAGGAAAGTCCCTGGGTTTGGAGAAACAAAGAGAAGGCAACGTCCTTCCCAGCACCTGTGCCACACCTAGCACGCAGGCGTAGGTGACACCTGCTGAACGGAAGCCAACAGAACTTGGTCCTGCCTGGTGCCGCCAAGCTCAACAAACCCTCTCCGTCTCTGGAGTCTCCTTGGTGACTGGGCCAAGGGCCTCCCAGGTTTGGGGAAGGACATGAGAGTGCCAACCTTGGAGCCAGAGTTCAAAGGGCCCTCTCTCTCTTCTTCTTCTTCTTCTTCTCTCTCTCTCTCTCTCTCTCTCTCTCTCTCTCTCTCTCTCTCTCTCTCTCTCTCTCTCTCTCGTTAGGAAGAACGCCTAGGGTCCTGAGGGACCTGGAACCAGCCCGCTCCCGGCCTCTCCGCCTGGACCCAGCGCCCACCTGCAGTGGATGACGATGGGCCCGGCGTCGGGCGGGGTGGAGGCCTTCACGCGCCGGATGAAGGCCAGCAGCCCGGTGGCGTGGTAGGGGACGCCGTGCTCTGGCCACGCCGTGAAGTGGAACTGGCGGACCTCGTGCCGGGCAGAGTAGCCTCTCTGCGGAGACAGCAGTAACTGCAGTTAGTCACTGCGGGCCGCTATTAGACGCTTGCTGTATGCCAGGCCCTGCGGTGAGCAGGATCTCAGTTATCCCCGATAATAAACTTAGGGCAGGGGAGGGGGGTGCTGACGTCCCTTGTACAAGCGGGAAAACCTGGGCTCAGGGAGGAGAAAGCCGTTGCCCCAGGCTAGCTACCCAGGACTGGGGCAGAGCCTGCCTGATGCCCGCCCTGCACCGCTGAGCACCCACCGCCCACACCAGGCTGTTGTTCTAACTCTGCTCTCAGCCTAAGACAGTGGATGGCAAACTCATGAGTCCACAGAGCCAAATATCAAGAGTACAACGATTGAAATTTCTTCTGAGAGCCAAATTTTTTAAACATAAACTTCTTCTAACGCCACCTCTTCAAAACAGACTCACCCAGGCCGTGGAATTTTGTGGAAGAGCCACACTCAAGGGGCCCAAGAGCCGCATGTGGCTCGCGAGCCACAGTTGGCCAACCACCAATCTAAGACTAAGAACAGAGGGGCTTACAGAGGATCAAAAGGGATCGTGTGTGGGAGGACTCGTCCACTGGCCCTGTGGCCTCTCACCCTGAGCCTCACTTTCCTTGTCTGTGACATGGGGCTGATGGGAAACGCCTAAGCCTAGAGAGCTTCCGGGGCTGGAACAGCATGTGTAGCACGCTCAGCCGTGTCCAGCACAGAGCAAGACCAACTACCAGCAGCCACCACGTCATCCAGTACCTCGCCTTCCTTTTGGAGTCGCCAGCAAAGACAGCTTCGCACCCAATCTCGGTGCTCCCAGCAGGTACCAGGCAGCTGCCTAGTGGGAGGGTGGTGACGCCCCCCTCCCCCCTCCTGCTCCTGGGACGGGGGAGGTGGGGAGGTGGGCTCTGCCCTCCCCCCGCACCCCTGTCAGGCACTCCAAGTCACCAGGCGACAGGAGACTCACCCGCTCCAGGGCAAAGGTGCGCACAACATACTCTGCGAGCGTCTCCGTCTTCACCAGCGTGATCTTGATGTCCCCGTACATGTCCGAGTCTTCCGGCCAGTACCGCGAGCACTTCACCTGGAGTCCCCACGGGGCAGGCTCAGCGGGCTCCCCGCTGCCCCCGGGGCCTGCCAGGCCCCCTCGCCCCACAGCCCACTTACCCTGCCCACTTCCACCAGCTTGGTGATCATGACGATGCTCGAACAGTGCTCCTGCCACACCAGGCGCCAGAAGTCGTAGACCATCTCGGGCTTCGGCCCTGGAGGCACAGGGGGTGCTTGTCCCCGAGGCAAGGTCTCTGTCCAGGGTCAGCACCCCCTCTGCCCGGCATCAGCATTCCCAGCCAGGAGGCTCCTGAGTCCTCAGGGGGACTTCATGCACACTCCACCCACACTCCCACCAGCCCCAGCTCAGACCTGGAGGGCCCTGGGGCCGGGCAGAATCAGGGAGGGCCTGGCTGGGGACCTCGGTCATCTTGAGTGGAACCCAGGAAGCAGAGCCATGGCCCCAGTCTCCAGAAAGGATGGACAAATGGACACTCGGAAGGAAAAGACACACCCAGGCAGCCCCCAGACTGAGACACAACCCACAGCTCGGAGGACTGAGTCCCTTTGCATGCACCGCCTTGGGGACAGACAGAGGGACAGGGAGCTACAGATGGACTGGGCATACCAGGGAGACACAAGCACAGGCAGGTACAGACTGACAGCCAGATTCCAGAAGATACAGCCAGACTGGGGCTCAGACAGAGAGGCACAGAAGAGAGACAGAGTCAAGCAGCTGAGTAGGGAAGCAGAGAGGTGGCTGAGGGCGTTCTGCACACGCGGGGCACACGGGGGCACACGGGGGCACACGGGGGCACCCGGGCAGACATGCTAGGTACCTTGAGTGGCTATGAAGTGGTTTGACCTGTGATAACCCTGGAACGAAGAAGAGGGAGCAGTGAGACCTCGGGGTCTCCTCCTCCCTTCTCTCCACAGCAAGCACACCCCACGCCCAGCACGGCCCCACCCTTTCCCCAGGACTTCCTGGCCCTCCGGTCCCCAAGCAAGAAGGCAAAAGAAGCCGAAACCGGTTTGGCTCAGTGGGTAGAGCATTGGCCTGCGGACTGAAAGGTCCTGGGTTCGATTCCGGTCAAGGGCATGTACATTGGTTGCGGGCACCCAGGAGGAGGTATGCAGGAGGCAGCTGGTTGATGTTTCTCTCTCATTGATGTTTCTAGGTCTCTACCCCTCTCTCTTCCTCTGTTAAAAATCAATAAAATATATTTTTAAAAAAGAAGAAGAAGAAGAAGAAGGAGGAGGAGGAGGAGGAGGAGGAGGGAAAAGCAGCTAGGACACCAGTGTCTTAGGTCTAGATCCATCTTTGCTGTGTGACCCCAGGGAGGACACACTTCTTTTATGGGCCTAGAGGGTCTCCCCATCCATAAATTGGGAACAGTTACCCACAATCTGCTGACAATCCAGCTGTTGTTTGGAGAAAAATAAAACCTAGGGTGATCCTGCCCTGTCCCCCAAAGCCCCAGAAGCCCTCAGCAACCCCAGAACCAGGGCTGGGTCTTGTCAGCTCTCCCAGCGCATGTGAGGCAGCCAGAAGGGACAGTGCCCCATCTGCTTCAGTCCCCTAGAGCTTGGGTCCCAGAGGAGGGCTTCAGGTTGGGAGCAAATAAACACGGTTACTCATGGGTCTTGGATAAATATTTTTTTAAATCCTTGAAATCAATAATAAATGTTGAGACCCTACTAAGGCCACAGACTGTGCTAAGCACTTTACCTGAATTACCTCCCACTGAAGAGATGCCAAGAGCTACTTCATCCTCCACGCCCAGGGCCCTAGGCAGCGAAGAGGCACTGGCCAGACCCCACCCCTGCCTCGCCCCTGCCTAATCCCTGTTCCAGGGCCACAGCTGCCCAGGAGGCCCTGCCCAACGAGATACCTAGGTTATCACAAGGGCATGAGGTTACATATAAGAAGTACTGAGGGGCTGGAGCAAGAGAAAACAACCAAGGTCACATGTCTCAAGTTCACGCCCTCCCTGAACTCCTCCACCCCACGCCTAAGGAGCCCTGGAGTCAGACCATAGGGGTTCAAACCCCAGCTCTGCGGAGCTCTTGCTAACAGGTGTGCCCGTAGGCAAATCACTTCCCCTCTCTGTGCCTCCAAGTTCCCGTCTATACCACGGGAAAGACTCCGCTATGACTTCCTCGGGCTGTTGTGAAGAGTGAAGTAATGTATGTCAAGAGGTTGGCACCAAGGCAAGCTCAGTGCCAGCACTTCATCAGCATAACTATCATTACCACCACTACTTCAAAGGTCAAAAAGTATCTTTCAAGATCCAGATAGTGTGGATGTCAAGAATTTCCAGGGCAAAAGGTAGTTTGCAGTGAGCTTAACCATCTTATCCTTGGAGTCAAGTTGACCTGGTTCTTGTCACAGCTCTGCCAAGTGGTAGCTGTATGGCCCTGAGACCAAAGGGCACTTCCCAGCATCTCGTGTGCACCCGAATCTGCTGGGGATCCAGCTAAAAGGCGGATTCTGCCGCAGAAGGTCTGGTGTGGGGCATTTCCAGCCACCTCCCAGGTGGTGCTGGTGCTGGGCCTCCAAACCCTTTGTGTAGCCAGACTCTCAGCCTCTCTAGGCCTCTGTTCTCCTCTGTTCTCCTCCGGCATAACAGGAGACATGCACCCTGAGTCCATACCGTAGTCAAAGATGCCAATTAAGAGAAGGTGCCCAAACTCGCTCAGCCCTCACTACTGGAATCCTCCCGGTCTTGCCTAATTCTCTCCTAGTGTCTCCCAAGCCACTGCCTCTGTCTGAGGCCTCAACAGAGTAACTGGGGTTATAGGGGAGGGCCCAGCAAGGGTGCCCCAGTGCTGCCTCCTCCCCAGTGCAGGTCAAGCTGGGAAAAGGCTACTCCACCTAAAAGAAAATCCACTTGCATGAGAGCAAGAGCCTCTTCAGATTCATCCTTCTCTCTCTCTCTCTCTGCAGGGCCCAGGCGCCCCCCCCCCTCCCCAACACACACACACACATGCTAGTCAGCAAATACAAGTTTTTAAACAGACAACCCTCAATATATGCACCTTTTTAATTGTATACATGCAATATTGCATAATTTTATTACATAGAAGACCATGAAGCAGAAAGTTTAAAACAATCAGATTTAAAGGAAGAGAAGGGATCCATCTTGAGCAAACCCACTTTAGAGACCAGCATGAGAGAGCTCTGGTCCTCACACTCTAGGGCCGTGGTCGGCAAACTCATTAGTCAACAGAGCCAAATATCAGCAATACAACGATTGAAATTTCTTCTGAGAGCCAAGTTTTTTAAATTGAAACTTCTTCTAACGCCACTTCTTCAAAAGAAACTCGCCCAGGCCGTGGTATTTTGTGGAAGAGTCACATTCAGGGGCCAAAGAGCCTTATGTGGCTCGCGAGCCATGGTTTGCTGACCACTGCTCTAGGGCATTAGTGTGTCCTAGGAGCCTGACCCCATCCTCACCCCTCCCTGCAGCCTCCAAGTGGGTGGACTGGGAGACCTACCACTTGCATCGCGGGTGAGACCCCAGGGCATCCTGGTGCTCCCCAAAGGGAAAGAACCAGTGTCCAGTGTGAGGACTGAGGTCAGGCTGGGGTGGAGACCCAGCTCCATGCAGTTTGAACAAGTCACCTAACTTTCCTAAGTCTCAGTTTTCTCGTCTGTCAACTGTGGGTCCCCAGCTTGCAGAGTGCAGTAAGGATGACGGGACAGCACAGGACAGCAGCACTCAGGCGGACTGCTGTGTGAACACTCTAAGCCAAGGCTTCGGAGGGTGTCTCTTAAAGGTCTGACAACCGAGAGCCAAGAGGGCGGGGTTGTGTGCTGTGTGGAAACGGGACATACAGAGTATAACCACCTCGTTCATCACCACCTAGTGGAGGCGCAAGAGCCGAGTGCAGCCACTGCACTTCGTGGGTCTAACACCCCATTTAAATTTGGGGAGCTGGTAGAATGAGCATGCCCGAAATAAGGGGGTGTCTGGGAGCACCTCTGCAGCCACCGGGCACCTCCAGCAGATGCGACTGCAGGAGACTTTCACTTTACATTAGGCGTGTCCGTGTTGTCTGATAATGAGCCATGTCTTTGCAAAAGCAAGAAAAATATTTTTTAAAGAAATGAGGAAATTAAAATAGAAAAGGTGGCCCTGGGTGATTTGGTTCAGTGGCTAGAGTGTTGGCCTGTGGACTAAAGGGTCCCAGGTTCGATTCCAGCCAAGGACACAAGTCTGGGTTGCAGGCTCGATCTCTACCACCACCCCAGTGGGGGGATCGACAGGAGGCAGCCAATCAATGATTCTCCCTCATCATTGATGTTTCTATCTCTCTATTCCTCTCCCTTCCTTCCTGAAATCAATAAAAATGCTTTTTTTTTTTAAATAAAAAAGGTATCCACAGAATAGCAAACAATCCCATCAAGCATCCAGTATTATGAACATAATATATCTATAAATCTATAAATCAAATCAGAGGATCGCTAGATGAATTTGGGGTCTTTTATGGTCCTAAAGACCCAAAGATGACACAGTTTCTTAAAAACAGAATAGCCAAACTGCTCCCCCAAAATAAAACATTCAAATTAGGGATAAACTGAGGGCAAAGTGGTTGGGGTTGAGTTCAAGCAAACTCATCACTAAGGGATTTGAACACCAGGAAAACTAGTTTTAAGGGGACTGGCCGTGGCTGTCCTTCCTTCCTTGAAAAATGATCCTGACCCACAAGCAGCAGAGACAGGGCACCCAGGCAGCGCCCCCTGCCCATCCTCCCCAGGGCCCCCCGAGGTGTGGCTTGTGAGAGGATGCGGGGCACAGAATGGGCTGGAGGACAAAGATGACAGAAGGCTGGTGCATAACGGGCCTGGGGAGCATCCAACCCTGCTGCCCACCGCAGGGCAGTGAGGGTGGCAGGGGCTGCTTACAACAGGGGCGGTGTGGCATCAGCAGCCCTGGGCGGCCCCCCGCCGGGCTGCTGAAATGGACGGTTGGCGTGGGGCACACAAGTAACGGGAAAGAGGACAAAGACCGAGAGAGAATCTGAGATACAGCCGGTCGGACAGACAGGAGGAAGAGGAAGCAGGGAGGGGGAGATATACTTACTTCACGGTTTATCCGAATCTTAATGATTCCAGTGAGGGAACAGTACAAAGCAAAAGAGACAGATGTTAGGCCAGAGGCAGATGGAGGTGGACGGAGCACAGAAGTGGCCAGAATGGGCGATGCGAGCAGGGGAAGCAGAGCGGGAGGGAAGGGGGTTTGAGGGACAGGGAGGGTAATGGCAGGGGCCCAAGAAGAAGCCAACTAGGACGTTGAGGAGACCAAGGAGAGGCCTCAGTAAGCAAAGGTGCTTCAGTCTGAGAAGCCAGGCCCCGCCCATGTCCCAGCCAGGAGAGAGGATGGGAGGTGGGGGAGAAGGCAAGGCATTCTGGGAAATAAAGCTTAGCTTGCCCGGCCCCCAGGAGGGAGTGAAGAACAGGGAGAAGAAGGTCATCCCCAGAATCACCAACAACCCCACCTCCCCGATGCACCCCTCCCTCCTCCTACACACCTCAGGCCTTCGCTCCCTAGGACTCCCTTCCCTCTCCTCTCCAGCACCCAAAGCCAGCGCAAGCCCTCCTCCTCCAGGCAGCCGCCCGGGGCTGACCGTGGCCCTGCCGCTAACCTGCTGAGCGGGTCTGGGAAAGGCGTTCCATTTTCCGGCCTTTGCTTTCCCGCTGACCTGACATTTAACTTGTGTCTATAGTTTTGTGTCTCCCCAGCTAGGATGTATATGCTTCAGGAAAGCAGGCCCCGTATCTGTCTTGTTCACTGCCAATCCCTGGTGCCCGGCACAAAGCCTGGTATCTGCCACATGAATCAGTGATGCTCCCCCAAGCCTGGCGGCATCCTCCATGTGGGAGCAGACTCACCATCCCTTCTTCACACCCCACCCCAACCCTGTCTCTGGCCCCTCCCTCCCGTCCAGCCAGACCCAGCTGCCACAGTGAAGGCAGGAGGGCCTCCCGGTCTGCGGCCAAGGCTTTGGAGACACAGACTGAGATCTGAGTCCCTTCTTGGCCGAGGCACGAGCTGTGTGACCCGGGAGAAGGAACCTCACTTCTCTGAGCCCCGGATTCCGCTCCTGCTAATTACGCCCAGGGTGGCCGCAGGAATTATGTAAAGTTACATGTTTGGTGTAAAGTGCTTAGCACAGTGCTTGGCATCCTGTACGTGCTGAGTAAACATGGATTATTATCCTGAAGTTCCACTCTGATCACCGTCAAAACTCTTAACAGCTCCCTGGTGCCCCTGGGGGAAGCCCCAGTTCCTTCGCCTGTCATGGGAGGCCTTCCCACTCCAGCCCCTGCCTCCCTGCAGCCTCACTGGGTCTCATGGCAACCCCAGCTCCAAGCCCCTTGGCCTCTCGCCGAGATCCTTCCTCACAGCTGGGCCTCACGGTCTGCCCTCTTCCCTCTGCTCTGCGTCTCTGGCCCGCCCCCTCTCAGGCCGAGCCCCGGGTGCAGGAAGCCATCTTGATGCCTGCACCTGCTCTGTCCCCGCTGCGGAGCTCCCGGGCACTGATGTAGGAGACAGGGCCCTCAGAACCCAGCCATCTGGATCCCCACACAGCCCCTGACAGGTCCTGCCCCGCGGGGACGGGGAGCCTGGAGCAGGCAGGGCGAGGGCAGCAGGGGTGGCCGGGGAGAGGCACTCACGTCTATATAGTTGGCGTTAATGTAGTCGGCATCGGGGTCTCCCAGCATCGGGTGGAGCTTCACACGGTGCCGGTCATCTGGAAGCACAGAGCGGGGCCGGGGGTGGGCGGGGGCTGACCTGGGAGCCGGAGCAGGGGTTAAGGGGAAAGGCTTCCTGGAAGCCACCTGTGGGGCATGGGCAGGGTGGCCAGGAAACTGACCAATAGGCTCTGTAGGCCACAAGGGGCAGGACAGGCCAGTGGTTAGCGTCTGGGCTTCCGCACCATGGAGGCCAGAGGTCCTGTGCTACCCAGACAAGTGTCAGCTTTGTGACCTTGGGCAAGGACCTTAACTTCCCAAGCCTCGGTTTTCTTACCTGTAAAGTGGGGTTATAATATGTCCCCCTTGACAGAGTTATTGAGAAGGATGAGTGAGATAATGGGTGTGATGCTGAGCACCCGGCTGGGCACATGGTAGACACTCAATACAAGGCTCGCTCTGGCTGTCCTCCCCTCCCGACCCCCTCCACCCACTGCCCCAGACCCCAGGCCCCTCCCCAGGACTCACAGGAAGGCAAGGGCTCCTGCCGGCTGCCCTTGACCTTGTCTTTCTTCTTTGTGGCATCCCAGCCTTCAAAGAAGCTCTGCCGGAAGGGAAAGTGGAAGTCAGTGGGGAGAGAAACCCTCCACTCCTAAGAACCCTATCCTCTCCCTGGGATGCTGGGGCGACCGCGATAAGGGCCAGGTTCGTGGTTAAACTTGGAGCCTAAGATAAAGTCGCTGCAAATCCCTTTATCAGCTTGGTTCCAAACCAAGCAGTGGTGGGAGAGGAGAGAGTGAGAAAAAGGGGGGGGGGGGAGGGAGGAGGAAGAGAATTCAGAGACATTTGAAGATTAGAATCAAATTTAGGTTAAATCCAGGTGTGAGTTGGGAAATGAGGTCAACGTGAGGGTCAAATTAAGATTAGGATAAGGGTGGTGTCAGAGTCTAGAGAGAGGGAGGATGGGATTCAAATTAGAGTTAAATGGAGCTCAGGATGACTGTCAGGGTCCAAGGCAGATGTGGGGGTTAGGTTTGAGGCCAAGGTCAGGGTTGGTGGTCAGGTTCATGTTAGGATTAGGATGAGGAGCTCGATCAGAATCCAGATGGAAATGAAGATAAGACTTAAGCTCAGATCTCCAGTCAGGGTTAGGATACAAGTGAGAAATCAGATTAATTCTGAAATTAGGATCAGGGTCAAGTAAATGACATTAAATGAAGTTGGGGACTGAGAGAGAATCCCTTGGGAGGGGGCTGAGGGTCAGCAAGGGCGGGGTGCACAGGGAGGAAGCAGGCGAGGCCCTGGTAAGCAACCCTGGCTGGCCTGGGGCCCTGCACCTCGTACTCCTGCTTGAAGCCATAGCCCTCGGCCGTCTTCATCTGGTTGATGTGCTGCAGGAGGTCGGCCACACGCACTGCAGGGTGCAGCTGCCCCGTGTGATACGGGGAGCCCTTCCGGCCGCACGGACGCCTCGGGGAGCCCCCCAGAAGGCTGCTGGCCTCAGTGACGCCATTGCCACGCTGGTCCCCTGCAGTTGGAGAAAGGGACAGGGGTTCCTCACACACACACACACAGGCCCAGCCTGGGAGCCCCGGATGGACTAGAGGAGCCAGGGAAGGAGGAGCATGGGCAACGTGGAGGATGGCGGGGTGGCTCACTGGAGCCAGCGGCCTAGCTGGGGCCCCCCACGTGACCCTGGGCAAGTGCCTTCCCTATTGCATCTGGGGTTTCCCATCTGTAAAATGAGCAGGTCAGATCACGTGACCTCTGAGGGCCCTTCCTGCCCAGCCCTGCCTGCTGCGATCCTGAGGTCCCCTCACGGCATCCCTCCGCTCCCTCCCAGGACCAGAGCTCTGTGGCTTCTCCATGCTCCCCGAAGGGGACAGCACTCAGCAGAGCCTGTGACAGCCTCCTCATCCCTCCCCTCTTCCACGGGACAAATCTGGAACACTGGCAACTCCCAGCAATTACCCCCATTCAAAGGCAAGCAAATCCCAAAACTCAAAGATAAGCAAATCCCAAAATTAGCGGCTGAGGCCACCCCCTCTGCAGATTAACGCAAGGCACCTGAATAGAGACGTTTTCCCTGTGCCAGCATTTCCATTGTTAGTCTGTGCAGCAGCCTCAGCCAATCAGGGAGCAGGAGGAGAGGTTCACCGTGCACCCCAATAAAATGGTACCCTCCCCCCTGACCAGCCCACTCGCTGGCTCCTCCAGTGAGTCCCTCCAAGGATGTCCCACCTGGCCCCTGAGAGCAGGTCCTGGGATTGAGAAAACAGCCCACTCAGTCCTCCCACCTTCAGACACTCCCGCACACTAACTTAACACTCCTTCCCCTCCTGGCTTGGGTAAGGGGTGGGGGACTCTAGGGCAGCCCCCCGAATTTCTCACAGCTGCTCTCTGCCCAGGTCTGAGCTGGCAGGGGAGAGTGAGGAACTCCCAGTGGGGCCTACGTGCCAGCCCCCACCCCTCCCTCTGCCTTCACACATGCTGTTCCCTCTGCTCCGACACCCTTCCCCTCCGGTCTTTGCCCGGCAAACTCACACTCCTCCTTCAGACCTCAGCCACATGGTGCCTGGCCTCTAAGTTCAGGTGACCAGAAATCCCGCTTTTGGTGGGACAGTCCCGATTTTTACCAATTTGTCCCGCCAAAAGTGGGACGTCTGGTCACCTTACTCTAAGTCCTACTCAGGACTCACTGATAGAATAAATGAATGGCCACCAGGCATACCCTGCACACCTCGACTTCCCCAAACTTTAGTCCCTGTCCCTTCAAACCCAAAGACCGCCGGGCCCTGCTGGGCCCCCCTTCCTGTGCTGGGTTTGAAGACTGGCTTTAGGGGCTCCCAGCAGAAAGGCCATTCCAAGACAGGGCTTGTCCGTGTCTCTTCTCTCACGCATCAAAGTCCTGAGCGGCTGTCATTCAATGTCTGAAAATAATTACTTCCCATCTTTCGTCCAGATTTCTAGTTGCTTACAGCTGGAGGGCAAGTCGAGTGTCAGTTACGCCTTCGCAGCCAGATGCCCCAAACCCTTAATTTTACAGATGAGGAAACTAGAGTCCAAAGATGAGAGACTTGCCTCACGCAGCAGTTGCCAAAGTATGTTCCGGAAAATACTAGTCATGTCACATGACTAAGTGGTATTCCATTAGAAGGTATTCCAAGAGAAGGAGGTATTCCAAGAGAAGGAGGAGGAGGAGGACAAAGACGGGTTCTATGTTTTTAGGAAATCTTTGAAATTCTGGTTTAAAAATAATAAGCAGGCCCTAACCAGACTGGCTCAGTGGATAGAGCGTCAGCCTTCGGACTGAAGGGTCCCAGGTTCGATTCCGGTCAAGGGCATGTACCTTGGTTGCGGGCACATCCCCAATAGGGGGTGTGCAGAAGGCAGCTGGTCGATATTTCTATCACTCTCCTTTCCTCTATGTAAAAAAATTGATGAAATATATTTTTAAATAATAAGCAGGGTTTTTTCCTGTAAGACCTGTTAGGGCTTCCAACATGGTAGTGTGCATTTTAAATCTCCAAGAGATGGCAGAAATAGCACCGTGAGAGCTTTTTTGTTTGTTTCAGGAAACGCCCTCGGGGAACACAGCGTAATGTGGCGATTAAGAGACAGGCTCTGGAGTCAGGCCCCTGATGGAACCCCAGCTCTGCAGCTGACCTTGGGGATGCTGCTTACTCTCTCTCTAAATGGTCATTTTCATGTGTCAAAATGAAAAAACAGAACCCTGCTCCTCTCCAGCCTGAGGATGTAAATATTAAATAAGAGAATGTGCACAAAGCACACCGCCCCATGCCGGGCACACAGTGAGCACCTGCTGGTGACAGCCATTGACACAGGAGTCGTTTCCAGAAAAGGGAGGGACCCTTGAGTCTCCGGGAGCCGCAGCAGCTGGCCGACGAGAGGAGGCCTTCCTGCCTTAGTCCCGCTCCACTGCGGCATCTCCGTCCAGGACCCGACAATTCTAAACTGCGCTACAGCAAACACACAATGCAGAGCTTTTCAAACACAGGATTTCTGCTGGAACTCCAAGATGGGGGGGTGGGGGGGAGGAGTGGTTCCTAGTGCTCTTTGTGAAAACCATGCCCACAGCTCTATGGAGGCCCTCCAGGTAGAGAAAGGGGTAACGGAGGTGATGGGGAATCCAGCAGCTCATCCCAGAGACCCTGAAAGTCTGGCAGCCTGACGCAGCCTCACCAGGAGCCGAACGGCCAGGGCCCAGAGGCTCTGAGGGTTTCACAGGTGGATTTCAGAGACAACAGGGACACATCCCAACACTTTGGGAACATTCACAGCCAGGATGGGAATGGGGGGATGAGGACAAATATGTGATACCTTAATCAATAAAGAAATTTAAAAAAAAAAATTCACAGCCAGCCTGCCACCATTTGCTCAGAACGTTAAATCCCGATTTTAAAATGTGCATACTAAGGTTGCATCCAAATCAACATGGCTTTCTGTTCTAACCCCGCCCCCACCCAAAAAAAAAAAATCTGGCCTATACTGTGTGGGAAAGAAAAGAAGAAAGCAGAGGGGAGAGAGTGGGGGCCGGGGGAAATAGAGAAGGCACTGAGACTCAACTCCGGTCTCCAGAAAATTCCCCGAGTTCCCCTGCTGTCATCTCTTCACCCAGGTCCTGCATCCCACCATCAGTCCAATCTTACCCATCTCAACCGAAAACCTGGCCACCCTGCCCAAAGGTGCATCTTCCCAAAACCCTGGCAGCATCCATAGTCCCCACCACCCACCTGGCGATTAGCCTGGTGCTGACTTCCTTGGCTCGATCCTGTCTCCCCAGCCCGTCAATGAGTTTCTAGGGAGCAGAGCCCGGGTTTCCTACCTCTGTGGCTCTCATCAGGACACAGCAGCAGGATCGGCACCCTATTACTCTCCCCTCCCACTCTCCCCAATACCCACTGGAGTTTTCAGCCCGATCAGACCTCTCGTGTTTTCCATAAAGATTATATGCCCACCCCCGGGCATTTGCACATGCTGTTTCTCCACAGACACCCTTTCTTTCCCATCTCTGCCTGACAGAATCATACCCATTGCTCAAGGCCTAGCATGATACAGTAGAAACAGCAATTTGCAACTCAGAGAGACCTGCACTTAAATCCTGGCTAAGCCACTTCCTGGCTCTTTGGCCTGGACGAGTGACTGTGTCTCTTTGAGCTTCTGTTTCCTTGTTTGTAACACGAAGAGTTGATAATAGCTACCACGCACTGCAGTGGAAATGTAAGGAGGGAGACCACTAAGAGAACATGATGAAGAACTACATGTCAATGAATCTGAAAACCTGAATAAAATGAACAAATTCCTAGAAAAAAATTAACTTATTATACTAAAAGTGGCTCAAAAAAGAAATAGAGCTTCAATAATCCATTACTCCTTTAACTACTTTGAATTAAAAGTTTGTATTTTTCATAGAGAAAAGAACAGAAAGAGATTGTTTTACAGATGAATTCCATCAGACTTTCAAGGAGACTGTTAGTCCGTTCTTCCATGAAAAGGAAAAAAGAAAAGAAACTTCAATGCATTTTATAAGACTAACAGAATTTTGATATCAGAAACAAACAAAGGCAGTGTAATCCCACTCAGGAATACAGCTTTAAAATCCTGAATGATATTATAATGATACTGAATCCAACAATACATACAAAATCTAATGCAACATGGCCAGGTTGAACTTATCTCAAGACTCGAAGGTTACCTTAACACTATAAAGCTAAATGTCACTTGCCTCATTAACAATGTAAGGGGGAAAAATATGACAATAAGGCAGAAAAAGGATTTGGTTAAGTTTAATGCCCATTTAAAATAAAACGTCCTAGCAAATTAAAACTGAAGGAACTTTGTTAATCTGACAAAACATTTCTACCAAAACCTATAGTCAGCGTCATTCTCGGTGTTTAATGTTAGAAGCACTCCTTTTAAAATCAGGAAAATGTGACAAGAATTCCAACTATTACTACTTCCATTTAACACAATACGAGAGTTCCCAACGAGTGCCATTCAGAAAGACAAGGGAGAAAGGGGTGAGAAATAAAGAACAAACAGAACTGTCAATATTTACAGTTCTTATGATTGTACTTAGAAAAATCTGGAAGATTTTACAGACAAATTAGAATTAATAAAAAATTTTATCAAAAAGTATGCATATAAGACCTATTCATATACAGAAATCAACTGCATTATCTATACAAGCAACAATCAGACATGCAATATTTTAAAAGTATACCGTTTGTACCGGGAAAACTGGATAACCACAAACAAAAGAATGAAGTTGGATCCTTATCTAACACCATATACAAAACTTCAGTCAAAATGGATCAAAGAACTAAATGTAAGACCTAAAACTTTATTATAAAACTCTTAGAAGAAAATATAGGGTGGCAATGATTTCTTGGCTGTGACACCAAAAAGCACAGGCAACAAAAGAAAAGAAAAAAAAAAAAGGCAAATTGCACTTCATGAGAATTTAAAATGTTTGTGCATCAAAAGATACTATTCACAAAATAAAAAGGCAGCCCACAGAATGGGAGAAAACATATGCAAATCAGATATCTGGGAAGGAATTAATATCCAGACTATAGAGAGAGAATGTCTAAAACTCAACAACAACAACAACAAAACCTGATTCAAAATGGGCAAAGGCCTTGAACAGTCATTTCTCCAAAGAAGATGCACAAACGGCACATGCGCAACATCCGACATTAGGGACATGCAAATCAAAACTACACGATCCCACACACTCTCCTTAGATGGTATTTATCTTTAAAAAAAAAAAAAAAAAAAAAAAAAAAAGCAGAAAATAGAAGTGCTGGCAAGAATGTGGAGAAACTAGAACCCTTGTACACTGTTGGTAGGAATGTAAAATGGTACAGCCACGTGGAAAATATGGCGGTTTCTCAAACAAAAAAATTAAACATAGAATTACTTTATGATCCAGCAATTCCACTTCTGGGTATAGATTTAAACACACACACACACACACACACACACACACACACACTGAAAGCAAGGTCTCACAGACATCAATGTTCATAACAGTATTATTCACAATAGTTCAAATATGGAGGCAACCCAAGTGTCTACTGACTGAAAAGTGGATTTTTAAAATGTGATTTCTATATACAATGGAATATTATTCAGCCTTTAAAAAGGGGAGTGGATTTTGAAAGATGCTACATGATGGAGAAACCTTGAGGACATTATGCTAAGTGAAAGAAGCCAGTCACAAAAACACAAACACTTCTATGAGATAATAGAATAGTCAGAATCATAGAGAAAGAGGGTAGAATGGTGGCTGCTAGGGGCTGAGAAGAGAGGAGAAGGAGGAGTTATTATTGAAGGAGCACAGAATTTCAGTCTACAAGTGAAGAGAGCTATGAAGATGGATCATGGGATATTGCACAATACTGTGAATGAATTTAATACACTGCACTGTATTCTTAAAAATGGCTAAGATGGTAAATTCCATGTTATGTGTGTTTTACCACACATGCACACAAAAAATGTATCATTTGCAATATAAAAAATATAAGGGGTCTGGGGGTATACCTAACAAAAATGTATAAGATTTTATGGAGATAATATTGAAAGACATTCAGGACCTAAATAAATAGGGTGATATCCTATATAATAAAAGCCTAATATGCTAAGTGTCCAGTCATCTGGTCGGCCATTCAACCAATCAAAATAATATGCTAAGGCCACTCAACCACTCACTATGATGTGCACCGACCACCAGGGGGCAGACAGATGACCTGTAAACCAGTCACTATGACATGCATTGACTACCAGGGGACAGACAGTTGACCTGTAGACCAGTCTCTATGACCTGCACTGACCACCAAGGGGCAGATGCTTCAACCGGTAGGTTAGCTTACTGCCGGGGTCTGGAGGATCAGGACTGAGCAAGATGGGCTGGTCACACCCTGGAGCCCTCCTGCGGTCCCTCCCCAGCTGGCCAACCTCCCGCCTCCCTCCCAGGCCCCAATTGTGCACCGGTGGGGTCCCTCAGACTGGCTTGCATCCTCTCTGAAATCTGGCCTTAGGGACCCCCTGAGTGCATGAATTTTGTGCACCAGGCCTCTAGTATATCATATTCATAAATGAAAAGACAATTTCATGTCAGTTTCCCCACAAATTTATCTATAGATTCCATATAAATCCATCTAACAAAGTTTTCCAAAGAACTTGAAAAGATAATTATAAAATTTATAAGACAGAGAACGAGCACAAATATAGCCAAGACATCCCTGCTGAAGAACAAAATCAGGAGGGCTTGATGTTTCAGATATCAAGATATATAACTACAGAAGTTAGAAAATGTGGTATTGGCACAGGAATCACCAAATTGGCCAATGGAAGAGAATAGGAAGCCAAAAAACAATCCACATATATATGGAAACGTGATATATGATAAGGATGACATTGCAAATCAGTAGTGAAAGTATGAACTATAATACCTGATGCTGTGACAGTTGGTTTTCACCATATAAAAAAAAATCCTTAATCCATATTGCACACAAAAATCAATCACAAATAGATAAAGCTTTAAATGTGAAATGCAAATTATTAAATGTTTTAGACTTGGTCAGTTTGGCTCAGTGGATAGAGTGTCAGCTCATGGACCAAAGGGTCTCGGGTTCAATTCTGGTCAAGGGCACATAACTCCATTGCAAGCTCAATCCCCAGATCTCTGGGGCATGGGCAGGAGGCATCCAATCCATCTATCTCTCTCACATCGATGTTCCTATCTCTCTGTCTCTTCCCATCCCTTCCACTCTCTCTAAAAATCAGTGGGAAAATATATTTAAGTGAGGATTAACAACAATAAAAAAAAGTTATAGAAATAGTAAAAAAAAAAAAAAAAATGTTATGACCCTACATAAGGAAGAAATCTTTAAGATCTCCAAAAAGTAGAACTCTAAAAAGATGGATGAACTTGACTAAACCGAAATAAAAAGCTATTCATCCCAAGATACTATAAATAACCTGCAAAGATGAGTCACAGATTTAGAGAAGATATTTGCAATTCATAAGTCACCAATGATTATCATCCCAAATATATAAAGAACTTTTAAAAACCACTAAGAAAGTGACAGAAAATTAGGTAAAAGACATGAACAGGCATTTCATGGAATAAGGAACCTGAATGGCCAGTAATGATGTGAAAATATCTTCAATCTCATTAGTAATCAGAGAAATGCAAATTAAGCCTATAGAGAATCACCATGTTATAAGAGCCGGTTTGCCAAAAGTGAAGAAGGCTGGCAAATGTTGATCTTGATGTAAAAGCAAAGCAAACTCTCATGCACTGCTGCTGCCGGGAGCGAGCACAGGCAGAGCCACTTTGGAAAACAATTTGGCGCTGTCTTATCGAGTGGAACGAGCACACACTCCATAACCCAGCAGTTCCAGCATCTCCCGTGCAGGTGCATCTGCAGATTCATCTCCGAGTGCTCACAGCAGCCTCGTTTGTAATAACAGGAAACTGGGAACAAAGCAAATGTCCACGGATGGCAGAAGAGAGAAATAAATTGCAGTAGACTCAAACAATGGAAAACTACACATCAGAGAAAATAAATGAACGATAGCGAAACTTCCATCTGGGTCAATGTTAGAAACATGATGTGAAGTTGAAAAATAGAGTATATTTTTACGAAGCTCCAAAACAAGCATAATTCTACCATGTTCTGCGCTTGGGGATGCTTGCATACGAGATAAAATTACCCCCCAAATGGCAAGAAAGCGGTAAACACAAATTTCAAGGGAATAGTTACATGGAAGAGGGAGGTATGGGATGGGGGAGGGGCACCTATCTGATATTCTAATTCACCAGTGGTGTTCACTGGTGTTTGTCGTACTGTTATGACTTTAGGATCTTCATAAACATCACATATTTCCTTTTGTACGGATCAGCACTAAACGGAATAAAGAGGTGTGCGATGAAGTGAGTTATGACAAGCCCCTAAGACAGTCTACTTGCATGCCAGGGGCAGCACTAATGATGTAAACACATCATCTCCTTTAGTCTTCTGGCAGCCCTACCAGCAGAGCGTATGGGGAAGCAGACACCCAGAGAGGTTAAGCAAGGTGCCCAAGATCACACAGCTGCTGGGATCTGAGATGCAAACCCAGGTCTGTCTGACTAAGAGTAATTCCTCTCCGCCACTGGTCTCCAGCTGCTCACACGGCAGGTGCTCCATGAAGCCAGGAGCCTGCTCTGGTTCTCTCTGGTCACACAGCTTCACTCACTCACTCACTCCTGAGTCCCCGAGGCACTTCCCACGATTAACCCATGACCTCACATTCCTCCTCTATGAGTCTGTGTATAAGACCATTTTTCCACCGAAGCCGGTTTGGCTCAGTGGATAGAGCGTCAGTCTGCGGACTGAAAGGTCCCAGGTTTGATTCCGGTCAGGGGCATGTACATTGGTTGCGAGCACATCCCCAGTGGGGAGTGTGCAGGAGGCAGCTGGTTGATGATTCTCACTCATCGATGTTTCTAACTCTATCCCTCTCCCTTCCTCTCTGTAAAAAGTCAATAAGATACATTTTATTAAAAAAAAAAAAAAAAAAAAAAAAAAAAGACCATTTTCCCTAAAGCTCTTCCAGTGCAAAGGTCACACCTGTGCCTTCTCTGCATTTCCGGGGCCAGTGCGGGTACACAGCAGGAGCACAATAAATGCTTCAAGTCTGGTGGGGGATATTACAGAAGTTGTCTGACGTGAGGAGCCCCAGAGCCACAGGAAGGGCCGGGAACGGGCACTCACCCCGGGGGCTGTAGCCGTGGGTGTCCATGAAGGAGAGGCCCAGCCGCTCGTCCTCCTGCAGGGTGCTCTGGTCCGTGAAGCTCCGGTCCACGGCGCCCATCATGTGCGTCTTCTCCTGGCGGTAGTTGACGGTGGCCTTGGTCATGTTCACCGGCTTCCTGCAGAGCGGGGTTGACAGGAGCCATGGGTGCTGAGCGGCACAGGACTGTGCCCTGAAGAGGATGAGGAGCCCAGCACTCACAGACCTTGAAGCCAGAGGCCATCCTAGAAGCATCTCTGGATGCTGAGGGGACTCTGCCTCCATCCTTCACTCAACAGACCCAGAGAGCTGCTGCCTCCCCCCAAAAAGGGACCGAGCAGGGACCCTCTCCTGGGGACCTTCGCTGAGCGCAAGGGACAGAGCAGCAGTGGGAACCTGGCCCCAAGACCTAGCAAATGGGAGAAAAACTCACTCTGGGCTCATGTGGGTGATGCAGCAGACAGTCACCCCACCCCAAACTAGAAAGATGGCGGTCCCCACTGCAGCCCAGCATGCCCTTCTCTACCCGCCTTCCACCTGCCCTGGGAGCTCCTTTCTCTCCTGTGAGGGGATGGACCATACCCCTCCTTCCTGGCAGAGGATCTGATTAGTGCTCAGCCCGAGTTCAGGAGTCCTCCCCTGGGCCCAGAATGGACTCCAACCAGGCTGCTTCTTACCCCCGAACTTCCAAGATGGGCCCACCACCGGCCATCGAGACTTGTAAAGAGACCCACATAGGGTCCATGATCCCACCACTACCCACCAGTCCATCCAACTGCCAGAAGCAGCATAGGGGAAAGGCAAGAGGCCCCGTCCCTCCCGGAGGGCAGAGCTTCTAGAGAGGGCCCTGGGCAAGTGGCCCACCCTGTCCAGGCCTCCAGCCAGATGAGAAGGCAGTCTGTGACTCAGGGAAGTCGGAGGAGAGTTGGGGGAAGGAGGGGGGAGGCAGGGGGCACAACTCCATGAACAAGGGGCCAAGCAACAGGCAATGGGGAAAGGACCTGGGACCCACGTGAGAAGAAGGGTGGAGGCCCAATCACAGGGGAGGCTCAAACAAGAAAACCATTCACCTGCTCAGCCCTATAGCACGCAGGATGTGGGGCAGAATTAAGAATGGATTTTCAGGTAATAAAGGCTCGGGGACACTGGTTACTGTGGAGATGAAGAGGCAAATGAAGGGCCATCCCAGCAGGACAAATTCCAATCAGCCTGTCCTGGTTCAAGAGCTCCCAGGGCAGAGGAAGGACAGAAGGACCTCTGGATGCTGCTTCTGCCAGGCCACCGTCCTGTGCTAAGAAGATGGCTCTGGGTACACGCTGGGGACCAGTGCTGCTGTGACTGAGGTAGGCATGGCCTGCTCAGCCTGGACCAGAGACGGCTCCGTGGGCCAGCCCTCCTACTCCCCACCCGCAGGCTCTGGGCATCTGGCCACCCAGAAAAGAAGGGGCTCCTCGTGACCTGAGTGCTGTCTGCACCGTGTGGAGAGTTGCCAGTGTGGCACAGGCCTGCCCCCCACAGGCACACATGCTGTGGACCCAGAGCGGCCTGTGTGAGGACCTTCCTGACACAGACGTGGTGTGAGCAGCAGGAATGGCTCACGAACACAAGGGCTGTCTCAGGGTGAAAGGTCACAGAGGCTCAGGGGGCATAAGAGACTAGCCAGGTGACCCAGCAGAGCCAGGTCTGAACCTGATACTCTGACTACAAAGCCAGTGCATGTGACCTCCACGTGAGGAGGTCAACACAGAGAAGAGAGTCAGACAGAGGAGGGAAGTTCAGAGGCAGAGGTGGCCATGGAGAAGGGTGTGGGAGCCCAAGACCCAGCTGGAGGGGATGGGGCGGGGGACCCCACGGTGGGGCCAGGGCCCAGGCCAGTGGAGCTACTTACGGGTAGTAGGAGTAGGCATAGTGGTCTCTCCTGGCAGCGTGCAAAGAGAAAAGCACAGTTGGGCCCTGGGGCCTTCAACCGGGCTGGGCCCAGGGCAGCACCCAGCCAGCAGGGAGGAGCTGGGTGCTTTCCGGACTGTGGAGGGGGCTGGCCAGGCTCAATTATTTAGGACCAAAACCCAAGTCCCTTCCAAAACCTTTCCTGGGCTTGCTACTCAGGTGTGAAGGGCTGGGGAAAGCGCCTGGGGGAAGCAGAGCTCTCAGTCACTCACACATGCATACACAAGAGAGAAATGTGCATACGTGCACACCCACACAGAGGCCTACACACTCAGGTGGATACACACTCACTGTACACACATAGAAACACACAGACATATATGCACTCACAAATGCAGACATGGACTCATATGCACAGACACACATATTTAAACACACGACTGAGATATATACACAGACACACTTTCACAAACACACACACATATGTGTACACGCACACATATGACATCCCCCACTTACACACTCAAGGTAACTATACTCACTTCTGCTGACAGCCCCCCACCCTCAGTCCCAATCCCCCTCACACCTGCAGGCTCCCTGCCCTGAGGTGACAGACCTTTGCATACACCTGTGTCTCAGGGGGGGAAAGTGGCTAGGGCAGGGTGGAGAGGGGTCATGGGCAAACCTTGGGGGCCCCTTCACCCACTCAGGCTGCCCAGGGTGTGGGGTCCGTTAAAGGAACGAGGCCTCCCTTCACGGGCACCCCAACTACAGCTTGGGTCAAGAGCCCTGACATGACCACAGAGCACACAGAGGAGGCAGAGCAGGTCTGATTCACAGATGAGGAAGCTCAGTCTCAGACAGCCATGGACTTCCCAAGACTCTCTGGGGGTCTCTAGTGGAGTCCAGAGCGAGGTCAGGACCCTGGCCCCAGAGCTAGCTCTCCCCTGAGGCCATATCCAAGGGCCTCCATTCACCTGCCTCCACATCACCACATCAGCAGAAACCCTTTCACAAGGAAATCCTGCAGATGAGGGGAAGGAAGGAGAGAGGAGGGTGGGAGACTGAGGGGCAGCGAGGGCAGGAGCTTGGCTCCAGGTCACCGGGCATGTGTCATCCATCCTAGCAACAGCGGGGAGGGTCCGTGGCCCTGTGGCTGGTGACAGAGGCCCTGAAGAAGGGGTTGGCAGAATAGCATTCTTCTAGTCTTCCTAAAAGGTCATTCCTTTGGAAGGGCCTTCCCTGACCACTCCCCCACAATCCCTCTCTGTGCCCCCAACCCTAAGGTTAAAAATTGGGACTGTCCCGCCAAAAGCGGGACGTCTGGTCACCTTACCCAACCCAGGCACCCCGTTCGTTTCACAATTCGTTTCACAATTACAATTTCCTCATTATTGTAATTATCCATGTGTGCTTCTTCTAATTTAATGCAAGGCTCCCCATGAACTACAAAGCAGAGGAGGATCCTGCCCACAGCTGGATCCCCGGGGCCCAGAACAGTGTCCAGCACATTACAACCCCTCGATAAATAACTCATTGAATGAGGAATCAATAAATAAGGGAAACTTCGGCATTTCCACCTCTAGGAGCTTTCATTCCTCCTCTAAACAAGTCATGGCTCTAATCCCCCCACCCCACCTTCCACCCCTGGGGCTGTTGTGAGGTTTAGGCATCAGGAAGCACGGCCTTGGCTCTTCCCTGAGGGATGCACAGCCCACATGCCAGAACTTTCTCTGACCTCACAGAGCGCTCCGTCGGCAGGGAAGATGAACATGGAGTAAAACAATGCAAGTAAATAAATGAAAATGTGCAAGGAAAGGAAAGTGCTGCAAAGGGAAGGGGGAGGGGCTCTAGAGGCAGAGCAAGGGGATCTGACGCAGCCTGAGCTCTGGGGTCTGGGGTCTGGGGTCTGGGGTAGGCACTGGAGTCCCGGGGCAGATTCCGCCAGTCTCACTGTCCACACAGGCAGGACAGAATGGAGCATCTGACACCTCTTCCCAGCTGGCCCTGACTGTCCCCCATAATCCCCTGCTGCCAATGACCTCCTTCTTCCAACAAGAGTACACACAGGGCAGTAACTGAGTAACTGCCCTCCCAAAGCAACCTCCTAATCTGTCCGTGGCATTTGTACCCCAAGTTGATCTGAATACCCCCATCCCTGACAAAATTGCTCTGACACTTGACACCCCACAGTACAGACTGGAGGACCCCTGAGGAGCACAATGCACCCTGAAGGCCAGGTAGAAATGGGGGAGGGGTGTTGGGGTAATGACATGCTATAGAATGGGACTGGATGGCTTTTTTTTTTTTTTTTAATATACTTTATTGATATTTTACAGAGAGGAAGGGAGAGAGACAGAGAGCTAGAAACGTCGATGAGAGAGAAACATCGACCAGCTGCCACTTGCACACCCCCTACCGGGGATGTGGCCGCAACCAACGTACATGCCCTTGACCGGAATCAAACCCTGGACCTTTCAGTCCGCAGACCGACGCTCTACCACTGAGCCAAACCAGTTTCGGCTGGATGGCTTTTAGAGGAAAGGAAGATCCTGGCGGCTTCTGGGGTTGCCTGAAGGGCTTATGGGGTGGCAGCTGCACAAACTGAGGGTCTCCTAGTGAGGCCTGGCAGCATCTCTGGCTCACTGTCTCTTGGACCCAACGCTTTCTCCGCAGGGATGGGTGACATCCCCCACTTTGCCCATCCTCCCTCCTTGAGGGTAGATGTTTTAGGGCTTTAAATACCACATGCAACCCCCTAATATCTGACCCCTCCTTTACACCCCTCTCCCCAGAGTGAACTCCCAAGCCCCCTGCAGGGGAGAAGCATTGGGACTTGCTACTTACTGCATCGACTGTGCCAGTGTGATGAGACCCTTCACATCCCTGCCCATGAGCTGGGGCTCAGGCTTTGTAGTCAGGCCTGTGTTCAAATCAGACCCTGCCGCGTATCAGTCAAGTGACATGGGCAGGTCATTCAGTTACAATTTCCTCATCATGAAAAGGGAGTGAGACCCTCTTCGAAAGTCAGGATCCAAGAAGGAAATGTTCTCTAATGCACCCGGAACCAGAGCGGGCCTGGCACACAGTAGGTACCCAATAACTAACGTGATATTTGAGATGCTCCTGGCACACAGTAACTACTAAACAAATGGTACTTTAAAAATGTTTTGTATCTCAAAGCAATGTGGAAAGCAGGCCGGAAAAACCAAGCCTAATGCCCTGCCCAGGCCACTCCCCCCCACCCCCACCCCAACGCCAACACCCCACTGCTGGCACGTCCTACCCCAGATTCTCTGGAAGAATCTCTCTAGGCCGGTGCCTGGGCCTCAGGCAAGGGGACCCTGGCCAATTCCCCCTCATCTCTCTGGATCCCGCTTATCGGCTTCTGGCAGCCCAGAGACCCGGCGCCAACTCACCCATGTGTGCCCAGCCTGGCAGCAGCTAGGGCTGCAGGAGCCAGAGCCCCGGTGGAGAGCCGGTGGAGTGGGCTCTGCCTCTGGTTCCCCGGATGACCTTGGGCAGGTTCATGACCCCTCAGGGCCTGAGCACTTCTATTTCTCAATTAAGACGCATGCATAACAGTGTCCTGGGGCTGCCTGGTGGGGGCTGAGGGAGGAGGGGAGCAGTCTCAGAAGCCCCCATCCGGCTCCAGAGAGAGACTCGGCTTCAGCGGCTCCGTGTACTGGGCTCCCAGGGGAGGTTTATTTGATGTTCTGAAAACAGGTTCTGTTGTTTTAAAAAGATTTAAGACCCACTCGACTGGATGTCCTTGAACTGCCTGGCATCTCACTTTCTGGGCTCCGAGCCTCTGCAATTCTAAATTCTGAGATTCTTAGAATCCTAAATCCTGGGTGGTGAAACTCTCAAACTCCATGTTTCTAAGTTCTGAATTCTAAGATGTGCTGGGATTCATGCTGCCCCCGGCCAAGCGCACTGGACACACAGCCCTCACAAATAAGAGGCTGTGCCTCGGAGGCCTGTAGAATGGTAGGGACCATGGGGAGGTCTTCTCTGAGTCACGGGCCCAAGCAAATTCCTTGGAGAGCAATATAACAGGGTCCAGGGCAAGCTGAGCCCGAGGAGAGTGAGGCTCGGGGTCCTTGGACTGAAGGGGAATGAGCACCACCCCCGCTGCTCAAGGTCAACACCACGACCCCGTAGTCAGGGCAGACAAGTCGGCAGATGGTCTGCAGGGGGGCTGGTGATTCAAAATCATGTCATCCCACCCTTTCCTCACTTGAACAGCCCAGCAGGCACAGGAGGACGGTGCCCGCTTCCAGCGCAGCTCCTTGGCAGCAGGCACTGCTTTCCTGGATAGTGGCACCTGGCACCAGCCAGACCCAGGCTCCAGCCAAGCTGCTTAGGGGCAGCTCCATTTGCAGAGTCTCTCTCTGACTTCCCTCCACCCGGCATGGTCCATCCACAGGCCTGATGCCTAGGCTGGCAGCCCTCCACACACCCGCCAGGCGGCTGCCCTGCCAGCTCCAGCCCTACCGGTCTCCAGCCATGTCTCCTCTGTGCCCTGCAGGCCTCAGAGGGGAAGGAGCCAGGGATGGGCCAGGACACAGCCTCACTCACCCCTTGCGGATGATGATGATGATGGCCCCCAAGAGGAGGATGAGGACAGCAAGTCCCCCGGCACAGATGCCCAAGATGAGCCCCATCTCCTCTGACCTCTGGGACACCTCCAGGGGGCGCTTGCTTTCCTTGCAGGCAGCTGGGGAGAGCAAAGCAGGACAAAAGGATCAGAGGGGACACAGGGACCGCCTACCTACCCCTTGGTCTGAGCCACAAGGAATGCACCAGGCCGCACAAACACACATGCACAGAGACAAGTGCCCCTCCTCCATGTGTCTCCTCACCGCCCCTCACACCTTCTGCATCCCTGTGTCAGAGGCTTTACCCGCACTGCTCCCCTATCAGGAATAGCTCCCATCTCCTCTCTGCCTTCTCCAGTCCCCCCATCCTTCGGGGAATGGGGGTTGGAGGATGACTGGGACCCTCAGACCCACCTTCTGGCCCTCCTGGGAGGTGATGGGAGGAGATAATTATGTGCCTAGGGTGTGATCAGGGCATCTCAGGATGGGGAACCAGGCACACTTCCTGTTTGGGAGCAGAGACAGTCCCTACACAGGAGGGCCCACCCTGTCCCCTCCTCAGGAAAGGGAGTTCTTATTTGCCCCGGCACAGCTAGTGCCCAGCACCCATCACTCCCATGGCCCAACCATAATGGGTGCCCGTCCTCAGGCCTGTCCCCCTTCTGTGACCATGAGGGGAGAGGGGAGGGAGGGGGTTATCCCTGCTGCCCTTGGGCCAAGAAGGAAAATGTTTCCTGACCCCAGAGAGGCAGGCCGGACCACCCCCCTCTGCTCCCACAGCTCTGGTGCTCAGGGTCCAGCTCCCAAAGGCCAGCAAGAGAGGAACCCGCCAGCAGGAGGACTCACCTTTCCTGGCGATGCGAATGCAGTTCAGCCGGGTCTCCTGGAGGCACAGATGGGGGTCTCAGCACTTCGGAAGCCCAGGCCTGGCCCTCCCCAGGAGAAAGCCTCGGACACGTGTCCTGGGCCTGGTCAGGGCTTGTCTGGTGTGGACTGTAACTAAAGACACCCATCGGGCAGGAGGGCCTGGGGGAACTAGGAGGGAAGAGGCCTGCACATGGGGCAATGCCTTAAGGAAGGCACTGGGAACAGGGAAAGAAAGGGGGCGGAGCCTCAAGAATTAGGCTAGGGCCAAGGTCCAGGGATCTGGTTGGAAGGCTAGGCCTGGGAAGGAGAGGTCAGGGAGGGAGGGGCCTGGAGAAGAGCAGGGCTTCAAAGAGGAGGCGGGTTCTAGGCCTCAAGGTCTGGTGAAAGCAGGAACCTGAGAAGGACTGCTCTGGGGAGAGAGGCGCCCAGATTGAAGACCAGGGCTCAGGGAGGGGACAGGGACCAGACTGGGGCTTAGATAAAAAGGAGTATGGTGCCAAAACCGGTTTGGCTCCGTGGATAGAGCGTCGGCCTGCGGACTGAAAGGTCCCAGGTTCGATTCCGGTCATAGTTGCGGCCACGTCCCCGGTAGGGGGTGTGCAAGAGGCAGCTGATCAATGTTTCTCTCTCATCAATGTTTCTAACTCTCTATCCCTCTCTCTTCCTCTCTGTAAAAAAAATCAATAAAATATATATTTAAAAAAAAAAAAGGAGTATGGTGTGGGGGAAAGGCTCTGGGAGAGGGTAGTGCTGGAGTTGCAGAGCCTGAGGTCAAAGGGTGGGCGGGGCTCGAGGAAGGGCGGGCTTATGAGAAGGGCGGGCACCGGGAGGAGGGGTTTGGGAGAGGGCGGGGCTCAGAGGAGGGCAGGGGCCAATAGAGGGGCGGGGATCAGGAAAAGGGGCGGGGCCCGGAGGGGTCTCCAGCCTCGGTGGCCACCAGCTCTTAGGTGTCCCCAGTGTGGCCCCCAACGACCCCACCCGGACCCCGGCCTGCTCTCACCCCCTTCAGGTGGCTCGCTGCCTGGAAGTAGATGAGGTAAGCCTTCCTGGGCTCCAGCGGCGGGTTCCAGAAGCCACGGTAGGTCTGGTTGTCGCCCACGGTGAAGGGCATGGCCTCGGGCAGGCTGCTGGCCGCCAGCTCGGCCCCGAAGTAGTGCACCAGGCCGCGGGCCAGCGCCGCGTCGAAGGTCAGTGGCACCGGGAAGCAGTCCTGGCCGCCAGGCTCCCGCCGCATCCTCCGCGGCCGCTCCTCCTGCACGATTACCTGGTACACGCTGGAGGGAGAGCGGGGAGCGAGGTGATGGGGCTAGGTCGGGGAGAGAGAGCCATCTGGGGCCCAATGGCATGGGCTTTGGGGTCAGGCCCAGCTTGGGGCTAATCTCGGCTCTGCCTCTTGCTACCCAGGCAAATCATTTTTTTTTAATATATTTTATTGATTTTTTTTTTTTTTTTACAGAGAGGGATAGAGAGTTAAAAACATCGATAAGAGAGAATCATCCATCTGCTGCCTCCTGCAGACCCCCTACTGGGGATGTGCCTGCAACCAAGGCACATGCCCTTGACCGGAATCGAACCTGGGACCTTTCAGTCTGCAGACTGACACTCTATCCACTGAGCCAAACCGGTTTAGGCTAGGCAAATCATTTAAACCCCCACCCCCGCCTCAATGTCATCCTCTGTAGAATGGGAGTTATCACAGGCCTGTTCCATGAGGAAGATGTGAGGGAAGAGGCAAGTCTAACAAGCAGCCCAACGCCTGTCAGCTATCATTACTGTGATGAAGGCCGAACGTGGGCTCTGCTCAAGTGAGCCAAGCGCGAAAGCCCCAGCCAGAGTCCTCAAAGAGTCTTCCAGAGCCTGCCACAGGTCGGGGGAAACCGGAAACCATGGCCTCAGCCTCCACAAGCATCACCATGGGCTCCCTTCTGAGCCTCTTAAACTAGAGGTAGGCTAGATGCATTCATAAAGTGTTTACTGAGCTTAGACAATGGGCCCTGGGCTAGGCACTTAGGGAGCTAGTCTATCTGGAAGTGAGTTCCTGTTGGGGAGACTGTCCCTGAGCAAGCAAGCAAGGACACACTAACCGTACGTCCCAAATACCCTCCCCACCAGAGGCCGCCCGGCATTTATAGCTCTGAGCCCGATGCCTCACGATCCTAATGGCTGGTAATGCTCCCTGGTCTGTATTCCCTCTGATTTGTGTCTCCTGGTCCCGGCTTGTGTATTTCTTTTTGTTTATATCGCTTTACTGAATGGCCTTTTGCTGTGAGCTCCTCCACATCCGCTGTGGAACAAAGCCAAGAGCAACTAAATGAATGCTGACAAATTTAAATATTGCCAGTCACAGCCTTGATCACGTCTTGGCATGTGACACCCCGTCCTGACAGCCTGCACCCCGGGGAGGAGAAACGCCTTTGCCTTGCTCTCCAGCTGTTTCTTCTGAGCCTCCAAGTTGTGGGGGGAATCACCCCAACATCCTGGGATTTGGGCCACACAGGGTCACTCCCTGTCGCTAGCACGTTGCAAATACCAGCCCAGGCCCCTCTAGACCCCCACTCGCCAGGCTGAATTCAGGCCTCGTCTGGTCCTGAGTCCCACCAGGAGATGATGATAATCGGCGTTAGCCATGAAAAAGCACAGCTTGACCTGGCATGATCCCAATTATGCAGATAAGGAAAGGGAGCGTAGAGAGGTGAAGGGACATACACAACGTTGCACAGCCATCGTACCTCTCCCTTCTCAACCACCATCCCCCCACTCTGCCCAGCCTCTTCATCAGCATCCCAGAGGGATGCTGAGCAGGCAGCTCCCAGGAGCCCTCCAAGGACAAGGAAAATAGGAGGTTTCCCAATTCCTCTGAGATTCTTATAAAATGCAAAATGCCCCTCAGATGCCCTGATGTTTCTCTAAGTCTCCCCTGAAGGTCTGGGAATCAACCTCTGATAGGCTTTGCCGTGGCCAATATGGGGGAGGCAAAGCAGGAGAAAAGAGCGGAGGATAGAGTGGAAGGGTGAGGGGTGTCACGGGTACCTGAGCAACTTACTGCCTTCTTGACAGGGCTCGCCATGCCCCACCCCTGCCCGAAGACAAACTGTCACCCTGTCCCCATGCATGGACCTTTGTGGAAGGAGGGGATGGACCAGAGGGGTGGGGAGGTGCCGTGACTTCAAGGAAAGGTATTGGCTTTGCAGACAGACCTGGGGTAGAACCCCAGCTCTCTCTCTCACCAGCTGTGTGGCCTTGGGGGCAAGTCCTTTAGGCTCTGAGCCTGTCTCCTGAGGTGTAATATAAAGTACTAGTACTCCTTCACAGGATGCCATGAGGATATACATAGACACGGAGTGGCTAAATTATTATGATCTCTGAACACGTAATAATCTGGCTACTCAGAGAGAGAGAGACAGAGACAGAGAGAGAGGGAGAGAGAGAGTTTATTTTTTTGAGGCCCTGTGCATGAATTTGTGCAGGGGTGGGGTCCGGCGAGCCTGCCAGCGGGAGGAGACAAGGGTGGTTGGCCGGCCTGCCTGCTGGTCCAACTTCTGGTCACGGGGACAATTTGCATATTAGCCTTTTATTATATAGGATATACACTGAGTGGCCATATTATTATGCGTTCAGAGATCATAATAATCTGGCCACTCAGTGTATGTCCGTGCAAGTAAAGGCCCTAGCATGGTGTCTGGCTGGCAGTGAGTATGTGCACATAACCCCATAAACACCCTCAACCTCTCACCTACACACACTCTCTCATCCACACATGCATCGCATCCACACATCCCATGTCTTTCTCTCACACGCGTACTTGCTGCCCGCACCTTCTCCCCAGCAAAGGCAGCCACCATGGCACCAGCAGCTCAGCCTCTTCTGGGAGAAGGAAATGGAGAAGCCACTCCAGAGAGATGGCGCTATCCAGCTGGCTGCCCAGCCTCCTAGAAAGCCCCTCCCTGCGTCTCCCTGGGAAGAACCCTCCAGGAAATAAGCCGAGAAGAAAGAAGGCCCCAAAGTTCACTGCTCCAAGGTGTCTGAAGGGAGGTCTTCTGGAGAAGCCTGGACAGTCACCTCTCCAGGCTGGACACTGACCGGAGAGCTCATGACAATGACCGCCAGACTCCCATGGCCTCAGAGGGGCGTGGCAACAGGCATTCTGCCTGCCCGTGACCACAGAACATCCTCTTCCAGACGCACTGAACTCGGAGTGGGAGACTGAGGAGGACCAGGGTGAGCTGGCCTGTGTGGGGGCTCTGGATCAGAGCAGGGGCCTCCTCCCTCTGGCCCTGACCTCCCACCCCTCCATCCAGGCTCTCCCACCTGATGGGCGCACCGCGGCCCTGGGCAGGCCTCAGCAGCACGGTGATGGTGTTCTCAGACTCCCCCAGGGGCGACGGCATGTCGGCATAGTCAAAGCTGGGAGCTGGGGAAGGGGACAGGAATGTAAGCACCACCTTCCTGGACCCCTGTCCTTAGATCTCTTCCTCCTCAGCCTTGGGCTCCTGGTTGTCTCTCACTTGAGCTTCCCTGACCCCTGACCTCAGCCCTCTGATTCCACTAACTACGGTCTCCTAAGCCCTCTGACTTCATTCTCCCTGACCTCAAACCCTAAATGGTTCATTTCTCTCAGCAGGAGCCCACTCTAACCACCTCCAGGAGGTCCCCCGCCCCCCCTCGGTGCCCACGAAACCCCAGAATTCTGAGTCTCCCCAAAGGGGCCAGGCCAGGTCCGGAGCTGACCTGAGATGTTGGTGGTGATCTCGGTCAGCGCCGCCTGACCGAAGCCTTTGCCGGTGCGGGCTCGCACGGAGAAGAGGTAGGTGGTGCCCGGGTGCAGGTTGGAGAAGACGTGGTAGGTTTCATTGCGGAGTTTGGAGATGGTACGTCGTGGGCCTGGCACGTTCACCACCGGGTCTGACGACTCGATGCTCTGGTAGCTGATCTGGGGGCAGGATGGGCAGGTGGGCAGGTGGGCAGGCACAGGAATAGGGAAGGGCATCACTGGCCCCACAGCCTCCCACCCATCATGGTTCAGGTGAGCTCGGGATAAGGCTGGGCCAAGGAAGAGGCTCAGTGGGACTGTGCCTGCCCCTTCGCCCAGGCCTCTGGGCACCTTCTCCTCTCTCTCCTGCCTTCCGGTCCCTTGTCTCTGTAACCCACAGGCTCTGGTCACAGCTGAAGGAACCTCAATGTTTACTTTCATCCCCCCACCCTGCACTTCCCTCTCCAAGCTGGGTGCCGCCTTCCACCAGGGGCCCTCACTATAATGGGGTCCAAACCCACCTCATACTGAGTGATGAGGCCATTGGGTTCCTGCGGCTCCTCCCACTTGAGGAAGATCATGTCCTCCAGTGGAGTGAAGGTCAGGGACTCGGCTGCAATCCCACCAGGCACTGCGAGGGAAAGGGCATGGACAGGGGGAAGCTGGCTGCGTAGCCAAATACCTGAACTCAAATTCCAGCCTTACCATTTCCTAACTGGTATGCTCGGATTACTCAGCCTCTCTGGGTCCTCGGTTTCCTCATCAGTGAAATGGGGTGATGATAACTCCTCTTTCACCAAAATTAAATGATGCGACATACCTACCGCAATTTCCTATGGTTCAGCCCATTCCTGAGTACTCAAAAAGGGTAGCTGGCACTGTCATAACTGTGCAGGTTGCATTCAGCTGAGAAGAATCTTTGAATGGTCCTATTTGGACCCAGTTAAGTGGCTTTCAGAAAACACAAACATTTGCCAGAGAAATGAAAACAAACTGCATTCGTGGCGGAATTGTGGATAGAGATATATTCTTGTCTGAAATTTTCTAATTACACAAACAATACGTTCAATGTAGAAAATCAAAAGGAGCATGAAGAAAATTAATGGCACCTAAGTCCCATTAGCCAAAGAATAATACAGTTAGCATTTCAGCATAAACCCTTTGGGGCACGGTTTGGTTTGGTTTTGTCTGCTCTCGTTCACATGTATCATCTTAACAGCAGTCACAGGAATTTCTCCTAGGATGAGGATGGCCTTTGTTTGGAAAAACACCTTAATAAACCGCTGTGGGGAAGCTGGGCTCCGAGGGCAGGGGAAGCAGAAACCAAGACAACAATCAATGAAAGCCACAGTGCTCTGTGTGAAAATGAGCGGTTGCCAAGGCAATACCACCCCCCACCCGCCAAAAGGATACAACGCAAAAGACAATTCCAAGTGTTGGTGAGGATGCAGAGCAACTGGAATTTTCACACAACTGCTAGTGCGAGTGTACATTGATGCAAGCACTTGGGGAAGCTGGACCTAGCTACCTATGATGGACACAGCCATCAGAAATGTGTAAATCTACTCCAAAAAAAATCTACAAGGATTTTTCTTTACAGCACAATTTAAAATAGCTGAATCCTGGAAACAACTGAGACGCCCAACAAGAGTAAATAGGATAAATAAATGTGGTATCTGCATAGAACGGTTTATTCAGCGATGAGAATAAGTTCTATAGAACTGAACACGCAACATGGCCGAATCTCTCAAGCAAAAGGTTGAGAGAAAGAAGCCAGTCTTTTCACTGTTATAAAACGAATACACGCTGTATGATTTCACTGATATGAAATTCAGAACCAAGCAGAGTTAATCAATGGCATTACAGGTCAGGATGGTGGTTCCTCTTGGGAGGTTGGGGGGGGAGGGGGCTCCCGGGAGCCGGGGTGCTATTTCTTGGTCTGGGTGTGAGTTATCCTGATGTGTCCAGTCTGTGAGAACTCACTGAGCTGACCTCTTGATAGAGGCATACGCCCTAGAAGTATTATAGTAATACTTACATGAAAAGCATAAAATGTTAAATATCGAGCAGTTACTGGAAGGAGGGGAAGGAGAGGGGCAGAGAAAGAAGGAAGAAGGCCGAGCAGCCCAACTGAAGCCTGGTCAGAATGGGGTGATGCCACAACAATATACCTTGGAGGGGAGAAGGACAGAGGTCAAAAAATTTTAAGAACAGAGTAATCTGATGTTGAACTTGAGAAGTTGTGCAGGTTAGCAGAGTATGGCACCCCGAAATAGGCCACTTTGGCATAAGGATTATCTGGAGTTGAGTTGAAAGGTGAATTGAGGAGAAACAGATACAGCAGGTCCTTGAATAATGTCTTTTCATTCAACATGGTTCATTATTATGGTGATCAGAAAAAAAATGATCTATCTCTGGCCGGGGCCACTGTCTTTGTGGAATTTGTTCTCCCCATGTCCTTGTGGGTTTTCTCTGGGTATTCCAGTGTCTTCCCCTGTCCCCAAGATGTGTGTGTGAGGTGAGTGCTGTGTCTGAATGGTCCCAGTAAGTGCTTGTGATATGCCTTGTGATGGAAGGGCGCCCTGTCCAGGGTGGGGTCCTGACTTGGGCCCTGAGTTCCAGCTCCCTCAATCGTGAACTGGAATAAGTGGATTGAAAAATAATTATCTTACTTGTTTTTAACCATCTTTTTATTTTATATGTATTTTTAATTGATTTTTTACAGAGAGGAAGAGAGAGGGATAGAGAGTTAGAAACATCGGTGAGAAATAAACATCGATCAGCTGCCTCTTGCACACCCCCTACTGGGGATGTGCCCGAAACCAAGGGACATGCCCTTGACCAGAATCAAACCTGGGACCTTTCAGACCACAGGCCGACGCTCTATCCACTGAGCCAAAAACGGTTTTGGCTTAACCATCTTTTTAAAATGTGTGTATAGCTGACATTTATTTAAATGTTTAACATTAGAAGTGTTTTGGGGTCATTAACTAGAAATATGCCACAAGAACTTAAACTTGGTTTATATCAATGAAGCCTCTGGTAGAATTGGTTGTGTTATAGGTTGTTTCACTTAAAGTCACAGTTTCCAAGGACTATACAAGGAAAGTTCCCCACCCTCCCCTATTTGCCTAAAACCGTGGTCGGCAAACTGCAGCTCAAGAGCCACATGCAGCTCTTTGGCCCCTTGTGTGCGGCTCTTCCACAAAATACCATGGCCTGGGCTAGTCTATTTTAAAGAAGTGGCATTAGAAGAAGTTTAAGTTTAAAAAATTTGGCTCTCAAAAGAAACTTCAATTGTACTGCTGATATTCGGCTCTGTTGACTAATGAGTTTGCCGACCACTGGCCTAAAAGAAGGACACAAATTTGTAAAGCTGCCCCCTTCCCCTCTCTACCTGGAAGGAAAGCAGTTAATCAGTGGACAACTCTAGACTAGAAGAATCTACACAAACTTACTAACTAGCCCTTATCTAGTCTCCCCGTATTTTTGCCTTCGCATAATTTGCTGGTCCTAAAAAGGTTCTTTTCCTTTGTTTTGTCACTTCTCTAAAAATTCATTGTTCTTTTGTTAAGATGCCATATAAGCCCAAGTCCTAACCACTCCTTTGAGTTACTCATCACTGAGCACTCACTCCCACATGTATGTGCAAGTCACATGGTAATAAACTCCAGTTTTCCCTTGTTAATCTGTCTTTTCTCAGTTCAATTTATAGGGCCCAGCCAACGAAACTAAGGTGAGAAGAAAAAAAAAATTGTTTTTCCTTCTCTACATTTGCTGGAAACACTGGCTGAGCTGTTTCACCTTTCTGAGCCTTAGTGTCCTCAGCTTCAAAATGAGATAATAATAGACCCTCCTCCTAGGATGGTTGTGAAATTTAAGATAGTATGTGCATAGTATGTGATACAACAGCTAATAGGAAATAAGCCCTACAAAATATTAGGTATGATTTTAATAACATAGTTCAACTCCTAAGAGAGAAGATGTGGATTACCAGGAATGAAAAGGGAAATATCACATAGACCCTGTAGACATCAAATAAATGTAATAAGAGAATATTATAAACAACGTATAACAAGAAATTTGACAATTTAGGTAAAATGAACAAATACCTTAAAACACAGTACACCAAAACTAATATTAAAAAAAAATATCTGAGTATTCCAAAATCTATTTTTAAAATTAAAACTGTGTCCCTGGCCAGTTTGGATCAGTGGATAGAGCATCTGCCCATGGACTGAAGGGTCCCATGCTCGATTCTGGTCAAGAGCATGTACCTCAGTTGCAGGCTCAGTCCCCTGCCCTGGTTGGAGCCGGTGCAGGAAGCAACCAATCGTGTCTCTTTCTCTCTCTCTCTCTCTGTCTCTCTCTCTCTCTCACTCTTTCCGTCTGTCTCTACCCCTCCCTTCCATTCTCTCTAAAAATCAATGGAAAAATTATCCTCGGGTGAGAATTAACAAACAAATAGACTAACAAAAAACTATTATGTGAAAACATGGCCACAAAGAAAACTCCAATGGCTTCACTGATGAATTCTTCCAAACATTTAAGGAAGAAACTATACCAATTAACCCAAAGGCTTCCGGAGAATAATATTAGCTATCATGACTTTGTTGTTATAGAGTTGGTTTAATCCTAAACCAAAAAAAAATGTCCTATATGCATTCCAGCTTCAGACAGAGGGTGTCTGTAGGAGGCACTGGGGACCCGGGGACCGGGGCCGGGGATCTTACCGTCCTCGTCCGTCTGGAAGGTGACCTCCTTGCCCTCTTTGCGCCCCTCGGGGTTCGTGAGCACCAGGCGCACGTGAACATTCCGGTAGGGCAGCAGGTTCTTGATGGTGTAGCGGCTGGCGCCCCGCTCCATCCGCACGCACTCCCGCACCGTCTGGTTGTGGCTGCTGCCCAGGATGTAGTGGTAGCACAGGGACACGGTGTAGGTGTGGCAGCGCGTGACATTGTAGCCCAGTGGCTCCCACTGCAGGGTCAGCTGGCGGGCCTGGATCTCTGCGAACGCCAGGCCTTTGGGGGCCCGCATGGGCTCTGGAACCCCGGAAAAGAGAGAAGGCAGAGGCAATGGGGAGAGAAGAGGAAGATAAGTCAGAGAGAAAACATCTCAGTCAGCTGACTGAAATCATTCCTCCTTTGTCCCCTAGAGATCCAGGGACCCCCAGGAAGTAGGAGTGTGTGTTCTGGAGTCAGGTGGGGCCACAGCCGCATCCTGGCTCTGCCTCTTGCAGCTGGCAACCACGGGCTGAGACGCTCCACCTCTCTGAGCCTTAGTTTCCTCAGCTTCAAAATGAGATAATAATAAGCCCTGCCTCATAGCATGGTTGTGGAGTTTAAGGTCATGCATGCCAACTACATGCAACAAAAGCTGATACACAATAGGCCCTACCAACGATTAGCTATACTTTTGTTTTAAGAACACAGTTCACCTCCTCATTCCTGGACCCCATCAGGCCAATCTGAATCAGCCTATTGCTATATTTTTCTTACGTGATTAAATTCCAAGTTGTTTTGAAACATATGATACAATACTATTTAGAAATCAGGATGAGAAAGGAAATTAGAGTCAGTTAAATAATGCCAGAGAATGTTGGGGAAACAGAAATGCATGCCATTAAGTCTTGAGAAAGGGGGAGTGGGGGAGGGAGAGATCCTAAATGTAAGATTCAAATTGGGTGGTGAGTTCCCTGGCTGCCAAAGCAAAAAGGGAAATATATGTTATGTAAGGATAATAATAATAATAATAATGGCAGTTAACATTTACTGGAGGCTTTGCATATGCCAGGCATTGTTTGAGAGCCTTTAAAATGCTTTATTTTATTTAATCCTCACTTTAACCCAATAGGCAGGTGCTATTATTAGCCCTGTCCTAAAGACGTGGAAATGGAGGCACAGAGAGATTAAGCAGTTTTCCCATAGTTACATAGACAGTAAGTGATAAAGCTGAGATCTAAACCAGGACAAGCTGGCTCCAGAATCCATTATCTTAAATCACTACTCAGCTCCCTTTTAGGCATTCACCGTCCAAAAAAAAATTACACCAGGAGAGACAGCTACTCAAACAAGAGGGAGGAATGTGTTACAGCTTCTTGATGATTCTGTGGGACCAGAAAGTTGTCCCCATTTTATAAATTAAAGTCCTGAGGTGTCTCGCCCTGGCTGGTGTGGCTCAGTTGGTTGAGTGTTGTCCCATGCAGCGAAGGGTTGCTGGTTCACTTCCCAGTCAGGCACATGCCAGGCTATGGGCTCAGTCGCTAATGGGGGTTGTGCAGGAGGCAGCCAATCGATGTTCTGCTCTCCCATCAATGTTTCCCCCCACCCTCTCTCCCTCTCCTTTCCTGTCTCTCTAAAAATCTATTTTAAAATCTTTTTATTTTTTTATACATTTTATTGATTTTTTTATAGAGAGGAAGGGAGAAGGATAGAGAGTTAGAAACATTGATGAGAGAGAAACATCGATCAGCTGCCTCCTGCACACTCCCTACTGGGGATGTGCCCACAACCAATGTACATGCCCTTGACCAGAATCAAACCTGGGACCCTTCAGTCCGCAGACCAACACTCTATCCACCGAGCCAAACCGGTTTCGGCTTAAAATTTAAAACATAAAATAAAATAAAAGCAACAATTGAGGCTTCTGAAGTGAAGCCAGGATGGAATCCAGGGGCTCAGCGCCCAGGCCTGCGTCGGCATTAACCAGCTGTATGACCTCAGGCAAACCTCGGGGCCTCCATTCCCTCGCCTGGAAAAACCGAGCAAAGAGGCCAAGATTGATGACTTGTAAGGATCCTTTTCTCTCTGGCACCCTGGCTCTGTGAAATGTGGTCTCAATACCTCCAAGTTCTGCAAAGTGTCCCTGAGTAGAGGACCTCCGGACACGCCTTAGGTAACAGGTGAGGGCACTGCTGCCTGGCCTCTTACAAGGATTCAGTGTGTCCCTGTCATCATTTGTGACATGATTAATGAGCTAGGGATGTCCTTGACAAAGAAGATGCAAAGGGAAACATCACCCCACGTTGCTCTTGACTCAGACACACAGGTAGGACAGCGTTCAAGGCTGGCCCCAAGGACAGCACCGTAACACTTTCTGATTCCTCCCTGCACTCTCTTCCTTCCTTGAGTCACAGGCAAACCGCACATCTTCAGTCATAGACCCGGCCTCCAAAGAGACAGGTCAGCACCTGTTAGGAGCAAGGCCCATCTCTGACTTCTTACAGTCTGGCTCCCCGTCCATCAAGGACATGAAAGAGCTAGCTCCCACTGCTCATTGCAACCTGCAGGCTACTGGCTGCAAGCCCACGTCCTGCACTTATATTTTCTTCCCCGTTCCTGACCCACATAGATTTTCCTAATGTTTCCCTAGGCGGTTTTGTTTTAACCCACCAATCTTACGTGTCTGGGGTGGAGGGGGCGGCCTCTGTGTACTCACTCTGCTCTCTTGTTCAGAGGTCGGAGCTGTATTCCCTGACTTTCGGGCTCTGGTCCTGGCTGTCCCAGGGCGTCTATGGGTGCCAAAGCACCACTGCTTTATGTGCACTAATGAGGGCAGGTCTTGGTCCCTGCAGCTCAATTCACACCATCCCTACCCCTGGAAGTACCTGCCCCACATTCCTTTCCATCCTCCCTGCTGCCTTTGCCCTCCTGCAGATTCAGAGAAGGGCGTAGGACACTCTGTGTAAACTGGAGACACAGACTGGGCCGGGACTATGACAAACAGGGCGATGAGCATCTCATCCTAAAAGGTCAGCTGCCGCCCAGCTCCAGGCGGTGTTGCCAGGCAGGACCACAGGCTCAGGGTTGCCAGATCCTTCCTTTTTTTTTTTTTTTTTTTTTTTTAAAGAGAAGCCAGAAGTTTAGGTTTGTATGTGAAACCTCCAGATTTTTAAGCACTGGCAGCCTGCTCAGGTTCTTTAAGACCACTCTGCAGGGCACAAAATAGCAACCTCTAACTGGAGGATGAAATGTCCACCCTCTCACTCTGCACCAGCTGTGTCAGCCCCCGCCTACCTCGCCCGACTGAGGGGTCTTTGAAAATAAAGCTCACTTTTCCCTGCACACCCCCCCCCCCACCCTGATCAAATCTGGGCAGATCCAGAGGCTCAAATAGTTTGTTGACTAGAGACTGATATGTTGATTGAGGGGTGTGAATTCATGAGTCTCTCTGTGTTTCCAAAAACCATCTGGCGCCCAGACACACTCTCTTCAGCTGCCAGCACACGTTGGCAAAACAGAGCATGGGGTCCTCAAAGCCCCATCCCGCTGAATTCCACAGGGCTGCAGGCCACTCGGAGATCAAGGGTCAAAATGCACATTAAAACAACGAGGCTAACGGCTCACATCTGTTAAATTAATCCAAATGCGTTTATTTTAATAATGCTAATGCGGGTACAATATCCCTGAGCCATTCAGCTGTTTCTGGTGGAAGGGACTCTGGAATGGGGTCCAGGGCTCCAAATTTCAAACCCTAATCTACCCCTTATTAGTTCTGTAGCTTCAGGCAAGTGACTCAACTCTTTGAACATATGGTCCTTGACTGGAAAAAAAAAAAAAAAGAAAGAAAAGAAAAATGAAGATAACACCTACTTTGTGGAGAGCAAGTGTGAGAATTACATAAAATGGGTCAAACTGCCCAGCTCATATTCGTGAACGAATATGTGTGCACTAAGGTGAGGTACTGGTAACAGTATAAATTAGCACCACCATTTTGTAAAGCGATATATGTTGCCTGGCCATCGTGGCTCAGTGGTTGAGCATCAACCTGTGAGCCAGGAGGTCACGGTTCAATTCCCAGTCAGGGCACATGCCTGGGTTATGGGCTCCGTCCCCAGTGTGGAGTGTGCAGGAAGCAGCTGGTCAATGATTCTCTCTCATCATTGTTATTGAAATCAATAACAATATATTTTTTAAATTGAAATAAAGCATTATATGCCAAAACTCTTTCTTAGACCACTCCTATCTATTTATCCTAAAGGAAACTGGGGAAGGAAATAAAGCGTGCTAAGCCCTGTTTCAATGTAGTATTATTTACAATCATAGGAGTCTAGAAACAAATAGTCCAGCAATATGGAGACACTCAACAGAGTTCTACAGCCAATAAACATAATTATAAACAACATAACCCATATAACAACATCAAGCAAAGGAAGCAGAATACAAACGCTTTCTACATCCCAATGACAAGGGTATAAAAATGTGTGCTGTAGACATATGGGCAGAGATTTGAAGAAGGCAGGAAAACTAAAACAGCTGTTGGGCTAGGATGCTGAGATTTAGAGCGATTTTTAAAGATGCCTTCTACTGACATTATATTATTGTTTTTATGGCCAATAATACTGTGGGAGGGGAGTGTCAGGGGGATAGAGGAGATGACAACACAGCTGGCCAACAACAAAGCAACCCCTGGCCCAGGCACCTAAACAAGGAAAGGGTGGTTATGTCAACAACAAGAAGCATGTAATTTAAAGGGACAGGATGAGCCATATAATTTAAAGGGGCAGGATGAGCCGTTGGGGTCCTGCCCGAGCTTCCATGCTGGCCAACCTGTGGGAAGAAGTGTTTAGCAGTACCTGGCACAAAGCGGGCGCTCAGCCCACGACGGGCAGCTGTTTCATTGTTGTTTCCAACAGTGGATTGGAAGTCAGTTCGTTCCAACTTTGGTCCTGACTCTACTGTGGACTCACTGTGTAGCTTTGGGCAAGTGACTACATCTCCAAATCTCAATTTACTCGTCTGTAAAATGGGATTAACAGCCGTCACCAGGGAACCTGGTTTCTTTTACTTTTTTATTTCCGAGAGGAAGGGAGAGGGAAGGATAGAAACATCAATGATGAGAAAGAATCACTGATCGGCTGCCTCCTGCGCGCCCCCTCACTGGGGATCGAACCCACAACCCGTGCACGTGCCCTGCCCAGGAATCAAACCACGACCTACTGGTTCACATCAAAAGTCGACACTCAACCTCTGAGCCATGCCGGCCGGGCGGAACCCTGGTTTGTTAACCCCCCGTGTGATCACCAGCGAGGGCCTGCCCCTCTCGGGGTTTCAGTGCCCCATCTGTGCACGGAGGGGAGATTCTCCATGGGCCCCTAGCTCTGGCTTCGTTTGTTCTGAGTACCTGGCCAGAACTGGCTCTGGCGAGTTCAAAACGCCATAAAATGACTGAGTGCCTCCTGTGAGGTAGGCACTATACCAGGATTTCCCACGCATTTTCTGCATTCGTGTGCAATTACCTGCATTGCATTCAACACACTGGAGGGCCCGGGCTCAGGCTTCACAAGTCTTCCCTTCCATCTCCACTTATTTCCTAAAAACCTAAGGACTAAGTCCGGGGTTCTCAGCCTCGGCATTGTCGACATTATGGACTAGGTAATTCTTTGCTGTGAGGAGCTGTTTCTGCATCGCAGGATGTTTAGCAGCTTCTCTGCTTCCTCCCCGCTTTCATGCCATCAGCACCCCAACCCCAGGTGTGACAACCAATATGTCTCCAGACACTGCCAATGTCTCCTGGGAGACAAATCACCCCTGGCTGGGAACCACCAGCATAGATGACCTCATCCAGTCACATGGCTTTAAATGCCATCTACGCCATGTCTATACCGACGAAATCCACGTTCGTATCTGCGACCCGAACCACTTCTCTGAATTCCACACTCATAAATCCATTGGCCGGATAGTATCTCCACTGGTCGACTAAATCAACAGCTCCAACACAGGACTCCTGATCTCCGAACCCTCGTCACAGCTGCTCCTCCCCAAGTCTGCTCCTTCACAGGAAATGACAACTCCATCCTTCCAGCTGCTCAAACAAAACACCTGGGAGCCGCCCCTCACTTCTCTACCTTCCCTTCTCTCTCGATGCATTTCCAATCCATCAGCAAGCGCAGTTAGCTCTACCTTCAGCACAAACCCAAACTCTAACCACTTTTCACCACCTCCCCACTTCCTCCCAGCTCTCGGCCTCCGCCATCTCTCCGCTGACAGCTGCCGTAGCCTCCTCACTAGCCCCTCCTCAGTCCCCTTTCCCTCCCAGAGTCTCTGCTCCACAAAAGGGCCAGAATCATCCCTTTAAACAAAGCAGGTAAGGGCACTGCTGCTCTCCAGACCCCACAGTGGCTCCCCAGCTCACTCAAAGTGAAATGGCCCTGAGTCCCACATCCCCAATGTGGTCATGACCTTCTCTCCTGCCCTCTCCCCCTCACTCACTAGCCTGCAACCACACTGGTCTCCTTGCTGCTCCTCACACATGCCAAGCGTGCTTCAGCCTAGACTGAGCTTACTATTCTCAGTCAGCCTGGAATGCTCCTCCCCCCACCACCACCGGACCACCCTCCCCCCTCCCCCCATGCCCCCTACCCCTCCCCCCCACTCCACCCCCCCCCCACCCCTCCGCAATGTCTCCAGCTTCCTGCATGGCCCAGTCCTCACCTCCTTCTGGTCTCTGCTAAAATGTTACCTTCTCAGTAAACTAGACTCTTGAGCCTTTTTAAAATAACAGTCCTCCTACCACCACACACTTACTATCATTTGACAAACTATGTATTTCGTTGTTTCCTGCCTCCTCCTACCAAAATGTGAGTTCCCCAGCAGAAGAACTCTCATGCTAGTAACCTTTGTCTGTCTTGGTCCCAGTCCTATACCCCTCACAGCTATAATAGTTCTGACACATCATAGGCACTCAATAGCCATTTTCTGAATGGATCCTCACTCTCTGTATGGTAAAATGATTCCCGTTTTATAAAACAAGGGGACTAAAGTTCCAAGTGGCTAAATAACCTGACCCAGATCCCTCAGCTAGAAACTAATTCCCACTGGAATACTCCGGCCCACCACCCAAGGATTTCCTCAAATGTAGCATTAAACTGGATTTTAGGTGATTCCCAGATCAGCTTTTAAAAACACAAGAATACGGCCGAAACCAATTTGGCTCAGTGGTAGAGCATCGGTCTGCGGACTAAAAGGTCCCAGGTTCCATTCCCATCAAGGGCATGTACCTTGGTTGCGGGCACATCCCCGGTCAAGAGGCAGCTGGTCAATGTTATTCTCTCATCGACATTTCTATTGATAGCTCTCTATCTCTCTCCCTTCCTCTCTGTAAAAAAATCAATAAAATATATATATTTTTTTTAAACAAAACCAAGGATACGAATGGCAAAAAAAATAAATAAACCTCAACCTAAACCTTGTACCTTATCCAAAGATTAACTCAAAATGAATCGTGGACTTACCATAAGTGTAAAAAGTAAAATTATTTTAGCCCTAGCCAATTTGTCTCAGGGGATAAGGGATCAGCCTGTGGACCGAAGGGTCTTAGGTTCAATTCCAATCAAGGATTGTGGGCTCTATCCCCAGTAGGGGTGTGCAGGACACAGCCAATCATCATTAATATTTCTATTGATTCTCATCATTAATATTTCTATCTCTCTCTCCCTCTCCCTTCCTCTCTGAAATCAATAAAAATATATTTTTTTTAAAACCCACTATTTATACACTTTTAAGGGGGAAAAACACCTTGGAGAAAATCTTTGGAATCTAGGATTAGGCAAGGAGTTCTTAAACTTGACATCAAAAGCACAATTAATAAAAGAAATTTTTCATAAATTGGCCTCATCAAAATTAAAAGTGGTTGTCCTGTGACAAACCAGGTAAAGAGGCTAAAAAGACAAGTTAAAAGCTGGGAGAAAAGTATTTCCAAACTACATATCCAACAAAAGGACCAATAAGTAGAATGTGTAAATACTTATCAAAACTCAACAGTAAAATATGAATAATCTACTCAGAAAATGGGCAAAAGATATAAACAATCCACGGAAGAGAAATGCAGATGGCAAACAGCACATGAAAAGATGTTCAACATCACCAGGCATCAAGGAAATGCAAATTGAGACCAGGATGGCATATTACTACGCACCTCTCAAAACGGCTAAAATAACAAAAACTATGACACCACCAAATTTTGGCAAGGATGCAGAAAATTGAATCACTCATACATTGCTGGTGAAAATGTAAAATATACAGGCATCCTGGCAGTTTCTGATAAAACTAAATATGCCCTCACCATATGACCCAGCAGTGGAGTCATATGGCATTTATCCCAGAAATAATGAAAGTTTATGTTCATGAAAAACCTATACACAAATGCTCATAGCAAGCTTTACTTGTAATAGCCAAAAAGTGGTACCAGTCCAGATGTCCTTCGACCCGTGAAAGGTTAAACAAAGTCTGGTATATCCATACCACAGAGTACTACTCAGCAATAAAAAAGAATAAACTATTGATATACACAACTCGGAGATCTCCAGGAATTATATTGAACAAAATACACACACACACACACACACACAAATGGCAACTAAATACACACACACATACACAAATGGCAACACATGAAATTGGAGAAGTCTAAATAAGATCTGTAGGTTGTATCCCTGTCAGAATCTCGATTGTGATATTATACGGCAGTTTGGGGAAATGTTACCATTGCAGGAAATGGGTAGAGTGTATAGGGAATTCTCTCTTTTGTCTGACAACTGCATATAAATCTATAATTATTATAATAAAAAAAATCCAATTAAAAACAAATGCTTAAATCACAGCGTGAGAAAATTGTTCTCTTCTCAAGTTCTCTTCGGATTAAAAAAGGCTCCTCTGGTGCAGGTGTGCCATCACTCCTGGCAGATGCTGCAGCCTTCAACATGCAAGAGCCAGCCTCAGGCTCCAGAGCCCAGACCTGAGACACCAGCGACAATGTAATAACTCACTTTCATTTGGTGTTAAGCTGTTTATTTTATCTAGGTAACATAATGTCGAATTATGGCCACAGTCGAGCCAGCCAGGCAAGGGTTCCAAAGCAAGTTCTGCCACTTGCTAGCTCTGGGCCAGATACCTAACATCTTTGTACCTCACTGACTTTTCACTCTCTCCCTCTCCCTTCCTCTCTCTCTAAAATTTTTCACTCTAATTTTTCATCTATAAAACGGATATGAACAGTATTGCTATGAATATTCATTTACAGGTTTTTGGGTGTTGTGAGTTTTAGATCAGTAGCAAAGAGAGAGAGAGAGAGAGTGTGTGCATGTGCACGCACATGTGTGTTATGTGTCTGGCACAAAGTGTTAGCTATTATTATCTTTTCCATAACAAGGACTGGGGAGAAATCACGTTTAGGCAGGTTTTAGAAGCACAGATGGAGGCCATACTACCTCTCAGAGTGCGGCCCCCGGCCCTTGGATGCTTGGAGCCCACACACACCTGCGCACTTGGTGCGGCTGACCAGGGGCGGCCCGGGGCGGCCCGTGCCGCCGTCCCCCGGGCGCGTGAGGAGCACGCTGATCTCGTACTCGGTGTCGGGGTCCAGGTGCCACAGCTTGTAGGTCTGCAGGTTGACAGCGTGCACCTCGGCCCACGGGCCGCGCGCCATGCGGTACTCGATCTCCTTGCGCACGATGGGGCCGTCGCCGATGATGGAGTGGGTGTTGAGCTGGATGATGAGGTAGGTGGGGCCTGCGCGCAGCAGCTGCGGGGGCGCGATGGGCGTGGGGGGCTCTAGAGGACATAGAGTAAAGGATGCTGCTGTGAGGTCCCGGACCCCAGCTCCACGTCCCATCACACCCAGATCCCAAGCGCCCTCCCAGGCCTTCCATGCAACCGAGCCCCAGGTCCGCAGCCAGAATGCCTCCCCCGCCCCCATTCAATGCCCGGGACCATAAAGGGCACCCCACCCAGCCTCACCTCTCAGCCCACACCCTCTCCCTCACTCCCCTCGGATGCCCAAGTCCCCGCCTCCAGGAGCGGATCGCAAGCCTACTCGGGTTAACCCTCAGTCCCTATGGCCTGAACCCGTCTAACCGGTTCACACCTTGACCCTACCCCGCCACCCCCACCTAAACCCTCCCCTCCTACCCCAGGCCCCGTCCCTCAATCAGACAGACCCCTACCCGCCCCCTCAATCAGACCCCGCCCCCTCGATCAGACCTTTTCTCTGGAGAGACCCTGCCCCCTCTGCAGGCCCTTTTCCGGTCAGAGCCCGCCCCTGGAGACCCTGTTACCCCGTCCCCAAAACCCTGCCCCCCTCCCCCTCCCCCTCGGCCCCGCCCTCCGGAGCCGCGCTCACCCTTGACGATGAGCTCGGCGAAGTTGGAGACGCCGGCGCCGCGCGGGGCCTGGGACACGCAGCGGTACAGGTCCTGCTCCCCGCGGCCCACGGCGGCCAGCGGGAAGGTGGCCAGGAAGCGCCGGTGGCTGATGTGCCGCACGCCGGCCGCGGGCACCAGCGCCCCACTCTGCCGCTGCGGAGGGGAGGGGGGGGGCCGGGTCAGGGGCGCCGGGGAGGGCGTCCCGATCCCGCTCTGACCCGGCGCGAGGAGCAGTGACTGTCCTGGCCCCACGGGGCCGTCCCCTTCACCGGGGGCCACGGGGCTGCTGCACCCGGCTCTGCCCAGGCAGGTGCGGGGTGAGGAAAGTTGGCGGTCGCTCTGCCTTTGATGGGCCATGTGCTTGGGAGATCCCGGAGCCGCGCTCTGTCCTGAGGGTGGAGGCACCCGAGGGGGCGGAGAGAGCCAGTGCCCAGAAGTAGTCCCACGGGCCAAGGCCCACCGTCCTCACCTGCAGGAGGAAGTGCTCCGCCTCCGCCGCCCTGCCCGCCGCCATGCACTGGAAGGAGGCGTTCTGGCCGGCGTTGACCTCCACGTCGCCCAGGCGGAAGAAATGCGGGGCTTTGGCTGCGGGGATATGACACCCGCGGGATGAGCGGGGCCTGCACCCCACTGCAGGCAGGAGCCGAGGCCGCCCGCACCCCTCCCCTGGCGCCCCAGCCGGCTGGGACTCACCGCAGGGATAGCTGAGGAGCAGGATGTCGTCCAGGCCCATGTAGCCCCTGCGGTCGGGGGAGATGAGGGCCTCGAACAGCACCTGGGGGAGGCGGGAGGGTCCCTGTCACACGGACAGGCCGCCAGCCCTGCCTGGGGAGGTGTCCACAGAGCCCCCTTTCAGCTCTGCTCCAGCCCCGGCCTCAAACCTGCAGAGCCAGCTCGTTGTGGGAGGGGGTGTCAGCACTCAGCTAACAAGGCCAAGGCCAGAGGACAGTTACTTTCCAGTAGCAGAACTCTTCCCAGCCAGACAGGGATTCCCCGTCGGCACAGTTCCAGCTCACTCTTGACCCCAGCTCTGATGTTGAACCCAGACTGAACTGTCACTGAAGAACCCAATGCTGACCATAGACTGACACCTGACCTTGGCCACAGATTGACTCCTGAGGCTGAACACAAACTAATTCCATCCTCGGCCACTCACTTACTCTGGCCTCAAGCTGAGGCCACCTCGCTACCCCCACCCCCGGGCATACGCTGACCACAGAGCTCAGCCCACCTGATATTCGTTGGGCCAAAAGGTGCTGACAGCCATTTCAGCCTGGTGCCACTGCCGGCCATGGGAGCCAGTCATGTTCCAGACAGCGCTGCCCAGGGGGCCACCATTGACCCGCACGTAGATACCCAGGGTGCCCGGGCTGTGCCCATCCCGGCTGTACAGGAAGTAGCTGAACTGCACACAGTGGGTGTCATTCTCGCTCAGGCTCTGGAAGATGACATGGGCCCGCTGGCCTGGGGCATGCTGGGAAGCATTGACCATCAAGTAGGAGCCTGGAAAGAGAGAGGGAAGGGTTAGGCACTGAGGAGACCTGGAGGACCAGGGTCAGGTGGGCACAGAGGAGAAGGCAGGGACAAAGGACCCCAGGAATTTGGACCCACCATGAATCTGGAGTTCCGAGTTCTGGATGCAGCCCTGACTCACTGGGTAAGTCCCTTCACCTTCCTACATCTATTTCCTAAAGGAGAGACTTGGAGAAAAAAAGAAAAAAAAAACGCAGAAACCGGACTTGAACACAACCCTCTCTCACTCCTCACCACCTGCGATCACAATCCAGGCTCATGCTGATCCAAGGCTTCTGAGCTGTCCTTGGAGGCAGGGCCTATGTCGTTCATCTCAGCAGTCAAGAGTCTGGCGCGACAAGCCCTCAAAGGCCACCTCTTCTGAAGTCTGCCCCCGCCCCTCCTCCCTCTGTGGGCTTCTCTCCGGGCCCTTAGATCATTAATAAAGGTGTGTGTGTTTCCCACCAGCCTATGATGCCTCAGGGTTCCACAGTATTCCCAGCCCAGGCTCTGAACCCAAGCAGAATGAATGCATAGAACAGATCGAATGAAAAGACTCGAACTTCCCTCCCAGCCCCCACCTCCTGTGTCTAAATTCCTGGGTTGCATTTCTCTTGGTTTGCAGAGAAATGCTGGCTGTCTGCTGCCTGAATGTAGGGTGAGGGAGTGGGCTGACTCCTCAGGCCCTGGCGGAGGGCTGATGGCTTCCTTTCTGTGGGGAGGAGGCCCCAGCAGCTGCCAACGGGGTGCCCGCAGCCACCCAGCGCTGCCTCTTCCTGGGCTTGGCTGCCAGCCAACACAAGCTCATTCAGCTCCCATCTCTGGGAAGACTCCCCAGGGACTCCGAGGAGGGGATCTCATTCATCTCTGGGAGCCAGAAGCCTGGGGAGGCTGCTCCGGTTCGGTCCTGGTGGGTAGTAAACAAAACCCCGGGTCCCCACCCCCCCTTAGGAAGGGGCAGGTCCCAGTCCCCACCAGTCTGTCTTGGCCCACACCCTGGCCTCCCGCTCCTCTCCCTGTGAGCAGCTGTGGGTGTCTTTCTCCCCCTTTCAATCTGACACTTTGTTCTTGTCTCTTCCTTCTGCTCGCTCTTCCTCTCTCTGCCTCCCCCCACCCTTCTTTTCCTTACTCCCTTCAGTCCTGTGGCTCTGCTTTCTCTCGCCTGGTCTTTGTCTTTGAGTGCAAATCCTCCTCCTTTCCTTCTCTCTCCCCCTAATACCCTCCCCTCAAAGGAGAGCACGGAGGGAGCAAAGGCGGTGCCCATCTTGCTGACCACTGCATCCCCAGGACTCAGCACATGGCCCATGCCACTTGCTACATTTCTCTTTCTCCTCTCCCACTGGATATATCTGTGTGGGGGAAGGGGAAGGGGAGAAAAGAGAGTGACCCACAGAGTGGTCAGGATTGTTGAAGGTGAATTCGAATCACCTTGAACCTGAGTGCCAACCATGTACCAGCCTGAGAGTGCAGCCCTGAGGACATGGAGGCAGCCCACACAGTGCCCTTGGGCCCCTTGACAGATCATCATCACCCAGACCAGACTCTGATACCTGATAGTACAGAGGTCACACAGGGACTGAGAGCCCTACAGAGGCAGAGACGAAAGCCCCACGGAGGGCACAGGGGCACAGAGGTGGAGGCAGGGAGGCCTCCAGGAGGCAACGCCAATGGTAATAGATGAGGATTTGGAGGCCGCCCAGGCCAGGTAGTGGAGGGCCTCGCTCCTATTGGCTTCAATCCCTGGCCTCACCACTGAGAATCTTTGCCGCCCTTCCCTGCACCCTGACAACAGTTGCTGAGAGCTGAGCCTCCAGCCCACTACTGTGACAGGCAGGGGAAGGGGTCTGCAGACCGTCCAATTCTGAGGCTCCCTCCGCAAGCCCATGTGGTTCTCACACTATGCTCTCTCCTCCCACCCAGCTTTTATCGGTAATACGGTTGATATGTTGGCCTCTACCTGACTTACCCTTTTCTTCACTCCCAGTTGATTCTGCACCAGTGTAGAGGGGTGCTAATATTATAATTGGGCTCCCTCAAATACCTCCAACAATAGCAACTAAACATCCATTGAACCCCTACATGTCACCCATGTACTTTATATAGACCTTATCCAATAACCATTTTCTCCCCATTTTACAGTTAAGAAAACGGGAGCTCAGAGAAATAAAGTGAGTTGCCCAGGGCACATAGCTGGTAAAGTGCTAACGCCAGGATTTGCAGCTCAGTCTTTGTGATTCTGGAACCAGTGTTCCAGGGGCCATCCTCAGAGCAGGAGGCCAGGACTAGAATCCATGGCATTAGTCTTCCGAATCCAGGACTCACAATGCCACGGGGCCCCAGTCTGAAACAGGGCAGGGCACTGTGGAGTGGGAAGGGTCCGGGACTTGCAGGAAACAGGGTAGAGGAAGGAAGGTTTTATGCACGTTCAGCCCCAATGTTATTGCTCTGTCAGCATCCTCAAGTCCTGGGAACCCAGGATTCAGAGGCTCTCAGTGAATAAAGAGAGTCTTTTCTCTCTTTTTTTTTTAATCTATTTTTATTTATTTCAAAGAGGAAGGGAGAGGGAAAGAGAGAAACATCAATGATGAGAGAGAATAATTGATTGGCTGCTTTCTGAAAGCCCCCCATTGGGGACTGAGCCCACATCCCGGCATGTGCCCTAGTCAGGAATCAAACCGTGATCTCCTGGTTCATAGGTGGAGGCTCATCCACTGAGCCACGCCAGCCAGGTGAGAAAAAGAGGGTCTTTGACTACCTGAACCCGCACCCATTTTACGGGGGAACTCCCTGATGTACATAGCTGGGCAGGGTCCAGAGAGCTTCACCTTCACAGTATCATGTATGTCATTGCAGATGCCAAAGCAGATGAGGCTCAGAGAGGTTAAGTAATGTAGCCAAGATCACACAGCAGAGGGGCAGGATGCCCCCAGAAGGAGACAAGTGGGGAATGGTGACAGAGTAGACTCACCGTGGGGCAGGTCCGCAGGAGCCCGGGTGCCAGGCTGGATCCGCACCTGTTCCCATTGGAAGTCATCGTACTGGGCCTGGCTGTACTCACAGGGCACGGCTGAGTCACTGGCCTCCTCGAAGGTGCAGCCAGCTGTGAGGGCAGGGCCTGGTTAGCCACGCGAGGGCAGGGCTGCTAGCCAGCGGGGCTCCTGGACTACCTCCAGGTGCCCCACACTTCCTTCCTACCCAGCCAGCCCCCCTCTGTCTCCTCAGGCCCTCCCCTCACTGCTCCCTCCAACAAAACTCTCCCTCCTCCACCCTTTCCCTCTACCAAGGCCCTCTGTTCATTGTCTGCTCCCAATTCCAGACCTCCCCACATTGCCCACTCCCCCAGTACTTCCCAGGACACCCCACACACACACTGTTCAACCACCCATCAAAGACCCCACTCAACAAAACTAGTTATCATTACTACTATATCATTAGAACCTCACAATAACTCATGAGATCCAGACTAGAATCACCCCCATTTTACAGATGAGGAAACCGAGGCCCAAAGAAGCTGAATGAGTTCCTTAAGGTCACACAGCTGGTTAGTAACAGAGGTAGGGTTTGAACTGAGATCTCCTGGCTGCTAGTCAGGGCCCATCACCTGCCCCTCACCTTGCCATAGAGGATAGACAGTAGGCCCCGGGACCAGCAGGATCATGAATGCCCTAAGCCAGTGCTGACGGCATCTGCTTAAAAATAACAGTGGCAACAGATCATCTCAGGCTGACGACAAGCCCTGAACAGTGCTAAACCCTTTCTAGGTGCAGACTGGCAGTTAGGCCTGACCTTCTGAGTAGGTACCACTATTATTCATCCTTGACAGATGAGCTTAGGACAGTGGTCGGCAAACTCATAGTCCACAGAGCCAAATATCAAGAGAACAACGATTGAAATTTTTTTTGAGAGCCAAATTTTTTAAACTTAAACTTCTTCTAATGCCACTTCTTCAAAATAGACTCGCCTAGGCCGTGGCATTTTGTGGAAGAGCCACACTCAAGGGGCCAAAGAGCCGCATGTGGCTCGCAAGCCTCTGTGTGCCAACCCCTGACTTAGGAGATTCAGTCATTGCCCAAAGTCACCCAACTTAGGTGTCTACCTGCAGGAATATGACACACAATGGCACCATCATATATGGATTGGGCACACACATGAGGAAAGGAAGTGGAACTCTCATGATTTGGAACCAATGTTTACAGTTTAAACGAGAAGAGGAGGAAGGAAGAGGGGATTGAAATAGACGTGAGTGAGGCCTCTGGTTGGGAATGAGGCCCATAAACCTTAGCTCGCTCACCAAAGCCCTGAGTTGGGCATCTCATAAAAACACCGCTGGTTCAGAAAGCTCCTGCACCCGGTCCCTGCACTCACTCCCAAACCTCAGTGCTCGGAGTCCCCTCAGGGACTGTGTGAAGCATCTGAGACCTGGGAAATGCCTGAGCAAGTGGCAAGGGAGCAGGCACAAATCATGCCAGCCCTGTTCTGGGCGCCTGCCCTTGACAGACGCAGTGACTGAGGCTCCGAGGGGTGAAGGGTTTGTCCACAGCAAAACGTGGCAGATAAGTGAGTGGCTTTGGCATCGGACAGACTTAGGAGTTCTGACTCTACGTTTCTTGACTTAGAAGTTTGCCAACCCTTCTGACTGTGGGCAAGTCACTTCTCCTTTCTGAGCCTCAGTTTCCCCATCCACACGTGGTTTTTTTGGGTTTCACTGTGGAGCCCACTTAGCACCATGCCTAGCGCCTGCAAGCACTCAGGGAACACCAGCTCCTCACACGTGCCGCTTGAGCTTGCTACTACGAGTAGCAAGCAGGATTTGAACCCACGCTGGATCAGCTGCCAAAGTCAACATCTCCCACCAGAAAAGCCTGAGCTGCTTTCCAGGCTCCAGAAGAGGGGGGAGAGAAACAGACAGTAACTGGAGAGTGGGTGCCGCGTGCCAGGAGCAGCGGGGACTTGGCACGCACGGCCAGTGACCACTCTGGAGGCTCTGGTTTCACCTGCTGCGGGACTTCTCTAGGTCGCTGTGAGCATCACGTAAAGTAGCACCTGGAGACATCCAGCACAGCCAGGCACAAAGGGGCTCCCCATGGTTGGGGGATTCCCTTTCCTCTTCTTGGACCTAAAATGATGAGCTGTGGACATAGGGATGGCACCAAGTGGATGCAAGGAAATAACAGAAGTCTCTCTCCAGCCGGCACCGGTTTGGCTCAGTGGATAAAGCGTCAGCCTGTGGACTGAAAGGTCCCGGGTTCGATTCCGGTCAAGGGCATGTACCTTGGTTGCAGGCACATCCCCAGTAGGGGGTGTGCAAGAGGCAGCTGGTCGATGATTCTCTCTCATCGACGTTTCTAACTCTCTATCCCTCTCTCTTCCTCTCTGTGAAAAATCAATAAAATATATTTTTTTTAAATAAAATAAAAAAAAGAAGTCTCTCTCCAGAGCTGGGTTAAGACCTGGGCTGAGCATTTTGCCCCTTTGTGTAAAAAGCCCTGGTCTGTACTGTGTCCTGTGTCCTGTGGCCTGTGGTCTGTGGCCTGTGGGAGGTGGGTTTTAACCTCCTCGGTGCTGGGAAGATCTTAGCTTTCCCCGTAGAAAATGATCCCCAGCACAGCGAGGACATAGCCAGTAGGGATGGTCAGGGAGGGCTTCCTGGAGGAGGGAACGTGTGACTTCATTCAGCCTGAGCTGAGTCAGCTCCTGAGGGTCTTAGCCAATGCCTCCCTGGGGCAGAGAGGTTGCCAGAAAGAGAAGCCAGGGTTCAGAGCCTTGCAAGGTTGCAGGCTCTTCCTGCTGCTTCATGGGGAACAAGGCAGCTGCCCCAGAGGTCTCGTCCCTGGTCCTGGGGTGAGCCTGAGCGTGCCAGCTCTTTCCTTCATGAGCTGCCAGGACTCCCCAGCTGACTGAACTGGTCAGAGGGGCACCCAGACCATCTGATCTTAACCAGAATAGTCCCCAGACTGACTAACCCAGGTCAGTGACACCACACAGGCAGACCTGAGTCAGAGTGGCCCCACTGGCATTCGGATGACTGCCAGACCCCCTGACTTCAGCCAGAATCACCACCAGACTGACTGACTGATCCCTGACCTCTACCAAATAACTCTTATAAGTGACCCAAGCCAGGGTGACCTCCCCAGCTGACTGACTCGATCTAGAGTGCCCTCTAGGCAGAATGACCCCCTGGTCCATGTCCATCCCCAGTCCTGTATCTCTGGGCCAGGCCCATTCCAGCCACAGCCTTAGCGGGTAATGTCTCTGAGGCTAGGCTCCCCAAGGAGAACCGCACCCCCACCTAGTCCCCAGCTCACCCTGGGATGGGAACAATCAGCCCTCCTGGGCCTGGGGAAACCCCCATCATCTCCTGTCCGGATGACCCAAAGCCAAGTCCCAGCTTCTGCTGGAGACCCAACTCCTGCCAGGAGCCACCAGCCCAGGAGGTAAACACTAGATCAGACTTTGGGTTCAGCACAGGAATGGTAGCCGGAAATCCCCCTCAGCTCCATCGACACAGGCATGGGCACAGGCATGGACACATCCATCATCACCACCACGAGGGGGCTGCCACCTACACCAGGACCACCTATGCTGGTGAGCCCTCACAGCAACTCAGAAGGTAAGTGCTCCTGATGGCATCGTCATTTAACTAGTTATGAATGACTGCAAAGGAGGAGGGGCGCCAAAGAGCATGCCATCTGTGCAGCTTTGCCAGAAGCTTCCATTTAACACGCCCCCAGAAGCCACCAGTCTACTCCTCGCAGATCTGGACACAGAGAGAACGGACGCAGGCCCCAATGAAGTCTGGGCAACCTAGGGAGGTACCTGTCAGTCATACCTGGGAACGGGTCATTGGGCAGACTAGGTACGGCCACTGTGAGTGCAGGAAGACTTGAGATATTTAATCCCCAAGGCTTTCACTCTCTTGCGTTTTCAGGACTCTTGGCTGAAGGGGGTGCGCTCTCCTGGCTCCCCTGCATTCACCTGTGAGCCCTGTGGACCCCAGGCAATGGAGTAATGGACTGCAACGAGCCTGCCGCTGCACCGGACCCCATTCCAGCATGGCGCAGAAACTATGGCCCTGGCTTTGTTTATAGCTCTGCTGAATCCCTAGCTGCACATCTTTCAGGACTGGATTAAGGGAAATGGGAGTTTGGAAACCCAAGGATGTAATTCCACTCAAATAAAAATCACTCATCCTCCCCTGCGAGTCTCAGAAAATTATTTTTTTCTCAAAATATTGTAAGGACTCTGCCCCCAGCACCAGTGGGGAAAGGGATACCTCACGTTCACGGATAGCACTATTGTTATTCCTGTTTAACAGATGGAAACTGAGGCACAGAGAGATGAGGTGGCTTGTCCGAAGCCACACCTGAAATCCCAGATACTGGGTCTTAAGCCACCTACGTTACTCAAGAAGGTGAGGCACAGACAAAATCAGGCTCTGGCCACGTGTGTTAATTCAATGTCATTTACTGGACATGTGTTCACGGAGAGAAGAAAGCAGGTCCCAGGCTGGCACGATCGAGGCACAAGAGTGTTAATACCCAGCCCTCAGACCTCCCAGTATGAATGGGGGAAGGAGAGGGACAAATGACAAATGACTGGGCACCTAAGAGAGGTGCAGAGGAAAGGTTGTTGGAGGTGGGTGCACGGAGCAGGACCTGGAAGGATGGGCATCATTCTGGCCAGCAGAGCTGGGTGGAAGGGCATTGGAGGCAAAGGGACTAGCAATGGCAAAGGAAGGCAGTGAGTAAACACACAGCTCTTCCGGGGCACAGAGAGGAGCCTAGATCGCCCGAATAACAGGAGGTGAGACTGGAGGAAGGGGGGTTAACGCTACATCTGGGAGGCCTGGAGTGCAGGGGGAGAAGTCTGGCCTCCTTTTGAGTTGGGAAGCCACAGTCGGGGTTTGAGCAGGGAGCGCCTGGATTCAGGTGAGAGAAGGAATGTATTCTAGAAGCCAGGAGGGCAGGTGGCTTCTCCAGAGAGCACTACAGGATCAGGAGTGGGACAAGCCACCAACGAGTTAGGAGTCAGATGTCAGGAACCAGTCCTGGATACAAACAAAACATACTTACTCTCACTCAGACACACACACACACACAC